TATAATAATTGCAATTTGCAAAGTAATATCTAAGCAAAATGTATTAACGTGAATGCAATAACCCCATTAATGTTAGAAAATCTCTGGTTGAATGAGGTTATTTGATACGATTTCGAAAAGAGTATTTGAGCTATGCATATCTTGATGGGAAGTGATTTAAATATGCAAGGTAGTCAATTGTCTTTGAAGCCAAATGGGATGAATTTGGCTCGGATATATTGTGCATTAAAAGAGGTTTCACAAGAACTCATTTTGCGGCCAGCTGTTCTTATGGCAGCTATGTGATATAGTAGTCTGATCTCGGTCATGTTCTGTCCAAATGTGAGGATTCTAATAATGCGCAGATTGGCTGAACTTGTTGCGGATATCTGGTTAAACAGAGAAGGTTTTCATAAAAACCCAATTATATTTTAAAGCTGTGCTTTGCTGTAACACATAAGCCAAACCCTATAAACATCTGCTTACTGTAAAAATATATTAATGCACCTATAATAAATAGAAACTTTTATTTGTATTAAATATCAGCAAGACTACTTTTACTTTCCCGCTCATTTCATATTAATCTTCTTATGGGTTGCAAGCAAAGCAAAGAAATACAAAAAAAATGTCATTTGGGATGTATAATTCAGGTTTAGAGAGTTCAAGTCCAACAAAAGTCGAGGAGTTCAGTTGGTTTATTTGAATAATCTGCTTATCCACATAAGACATTGTACTGCATCAACTGGCTTAGCGGCTTCTCATTCGATTCAATGAATTATAGCAGATGTTTCTATACAAGTGCTTTGAGATATTTCCCAGTTAACTTGACGCGTGCCCAGAAAAGAATGCGCTGACGAAGCATTGTGCTTTCCGGTTTCAATAATCGGCCACAAATCCTCTAAAGCCCCATCAAATCAGCGCAATTATGTCAACCAAAATCAAAATAAAAAGCAGAGAAAACGAGTACACGTAATTTCTTTGAGTGAAAGAGCAACTGGTACCTGGGCCGGAGCCGAGCTTGACAATCATCAATCACTGACTTGACAAATGCCTCACATTACAGTCGGCTTGTTTATTATGTGTGGACTGGGGAGGGTAATAAAGCCGCTTATGCCAAGAAGTCAAAGACCGGGGCTATTACGTGCGCTACACGCTCCCAAAATTTCCTGCAATTACGCATCGTGATTGGGGCAAGGCCCTTGGCATTAATTTTGGCCTGCTTCTCAATGATTCACGTGTGCCATCAGGAAGCGATGAATTCGATAAGTGGTCAAAACAAATAAAATAAACAAAGAAGTAACAAAACAAAATCTTCTTCTTATTTGTAAACAAGTTAGAATGCTCTATTCGAGGCAGATCGACTTGCAAATAACCTGTACCCGGCTGAGAAATACATATTTTACATTAGGCCAATCACATAAGTGTTATTAATTGATCTGAATGTATATATATGTATATATTAAGAAATGGTTTTGAGACCTTGATACAGACAACAATATTGTAAAACACATTTTTCAAAGTGAATTTTGAAGTGAATTATACAAAGCCACACAAAACTTTTGTACAAATTTCTGCAACAAAATGTTTGTTTATATGTTGGCTTTTTTTTAGTTGACTCATAAATCAAACATATACAACGAGCTCAAATATTTCATCTCCATAACTTATATTCTTTAAACTTTGAGGGCACCTCGATCTCCATCTCCTCAAATATTTGTCGGTCAAGGCAATACGTTAACCTGAGATTATGTTTGGAGTCGCAAAACGACTTATTGAAAATATTATCTCTGGTCGTTCAACATTTGTTTACGTTTTATAGCCGGTCTATGCCCCAGACAACTTTTCAGCATGTGTATGGAAGTGAACATTGGAATATGTAAGTTAATTATATTGCCAAACATCTGCATATGGATATGGATATGGTTGCTATATAAACACTGCGACTAAAGATTGTGTACGTTGATAAGCTTAGCCTACCCGCCCCCCGCCCCGCCCCGCAGACTTTCATACATATAAGGCTAAAAGGGTTACCACACATTATAAGCCCGAAATTACGTATATGGCATGCGCTATACTAGTCGGGGCATGTAGGCCTTGGGGGCGTGGCAGATTTCAACCACAAGCTTCACCTTCGGCTGTGCAATAGCTGAAAAAAAAAAAAGAAACGCAAAGAAAACGCAGCCGCATGAGGCCAACTGATAATGACCATAATTGAAGTTGCCGTTGGTTGCTTGCTGTTGACCACGTTAAGGTCTGCGTGCATTTAATTATGCAATTTGTGCAAATAAGCGAATGCAACAACTGCAATTGCAACTGCAACTGCAATTGCAAATCACAACAGTCAAAAAAACAATGCAACGCAACTCAGTCTAAGTTGGCCTAAGAAACATTTAAGTTCTTGGTGGATTTCTCGTCGATTTTTGTTGGCCTAAATACCGCCTTAAAGAAATACAACAAATTGTCAGTTTTAGAATAAGTCGAAAGCTGTAAAACCGGTAAGCCAGTTCCCTCAAAATAGGTGCGATATTTTAAGTTTTCTTCTTTTTCTGTTGTCAATGGGAATACACAAAGGTTTCGATTGTGTGAGTTTTATTTGTTTTGACTGTGACGCCTGCGCCATCTTCAAGAGGGGAATACCTATGTTTATATGCATGGGTGGTATATATATATATGAGCAGAAAAATTAATACTCTGTGAAGTATTTAGCCGAAGTGTAAATGGAAATATTATGCAAACGAGTCATTGCCAAAACAACACTAAAAACTCTCAATGAGAAAGAAAGCTGCAAATTGGGCTGACATCGGTGAATATTTTGCTGATATCGAGATAAGTTCTTTAAAAGCCGCAAGAGCCTCAGAAAACTTAAAATACTTTTGATGAAAGCGAAAACTTTAGTCATAATAAGATTCATTTACTTAACCAAATAAAGGCGGATACAAAAATAATAGCTGCTAGAAGCAAGCTAGAATGCTCAAGTCGAGACATCTCGACGAAGAGATGCCCTGCAATAGTAGCTTGTCTAATATGAAATTACAATTTGAGTTTCTTGTTGCGATCGAAAATCGATTTGTATCGATATTCACGATATGGGGCAGCTGTCTGCCAAATTAAATTAAGTTGATATGCGTAAGGCAAATGAGAACAAATATATATTCGAAATCATTCCAAAGTCTCTTTTAGTCTATATAAATTGACTCTGCTTATCAAGAATATATATACTTTATGGGTTCGTATATTATTTCTTCCGCCTTTAACAAACATATAGTCTGGGCAACTTAATTATACATTTTTTCCCCCATTTTTAATGGGTTCAGTGTATAAAGAAAAAAATTGTGGTATCATCTCACTTAAAAATCAGGGGTCTGTTAAAAAAGCTATTTTAAATTAATCACGTATATTTCAAAATGATTGCCTTAAGTCAGTATTCAAAGAGTCGTGTGAAACAAAATTTCATTTATTCTCGGTAAACGAATCTGAGAAATTTGCCAGATATACTATATATGTATAATAATAATAATAACAATATATGTACGTGAGAACTTATGTCAAACAAATAGGAAATTATTTTTGTACATTGTTTGCACATTAAAATGGTATTTGTAATTTAATAAATTGTGTAAATAACTGCAGCAGCAACAAATATAGTAAAACAGATCCGTGCCACTATTATTACAAATATTTTTCCCCTGACACGACAACAATTCTCAACACAAAACAGTAGTTTCCCATATAATAAAAACAACAATTTTGTAACACTCGAATAATTAATAACATTTTGTGGTAGCACAGGAAGAACATATTCCAAATTAAAAACTAATGGAACAATCAACACTTTATCTGTCGAAGCATTGTACAAGCTTTTGTGTTGGAAGCAATCAAGCTGCTGAACGCCATTTTAATATTTATTGAAACCAATTCTAATACGCGGATTGAAAAACTTAACCAGTCGGCAGCCGACAAAAAACACCTAAAATTTAGTTTGTGTAAAAAAAGTTCAAAGAGACACGAGACTACGGTTAAGGTTTTTTTATCTTTTGTTTGGTTTCAAATCGAACAACTCGGAACGTGTTTTTAATAAACATGCGCAACTTTCTTTTTTTGGTTTTTGACGCGCCAACAAAATCGAATGGGAATAGGACGGCAAATGAAACAGAGTGGCGTGAGAGGGAGCGAGAGGGATATCGTAACGTGAAACAGTACTAAATTAAAACACTTAAATACATATGACAAATACGTTTGTGCATGATATACAACAGTATGTGGTTTAATGATTGATAAGCGAGAGGACAACAACTTACTTAATGACGGTTTGCATGTTAACTGTTTTAACAATATTGGTTCAAGCAACCGCTGCAATTTCGGGTAACTGTTACGTTAACGAGACGCTGTTTAGCTGTTAAAGATAAATTATTTTCATTTAGTCGATATTGGCAAGGCAAAGAACTTTTAAATCCACAATACTGAACAACAAAGCACAATTATTAAGCAAGTAAAATTACAAGCGCTCCACACTGCTTTTGAATTTAACGGCCAATAATAATATCGGATAAACTCAATACTGGTATGAAGTCAACAGCGAACGACGACCTACTGAGCCCACCAACGCAATCGCAGTTGGTATATAAAAGCTGTTAGCGCAAAGCCCGATTTAGAGATGCACCAGTTTTATCCAAAATTATCTAACTTATCGATAGTTGCATACGAGTATTGGTAGTACACAAATACACTGGTGCCATCACTAGCAATAATATCACAAATGTATGGTGGTGCTGCAGTCACACTCTGTTGACGCACTGTTAACAATTTGTAAACATTGAGTTCTGAACCACTTTGTTTTATTAAACTTAAAATGGGACCTGCATTTTGCTGCCAGACAGCATTTTATTCTTAGTTTTAAGTTCTTCAAGTTTATTACTGTTCTAGAAAATGCTTTCCGGAAAAAGAGAACATTATTTTTAATGGCAAAATCGTAGAACGAACTGAATGAACGGCAATCCACGAAACCAGTTCGTTCGCCTAGTTCACTGAGTTCGCTCGAACTTATTCCGAACGCTTCAGCACAACTATCGTCCACGCGACTAATTAAACAAAAGTAAAAAAGAAATTAAGTTGCTAAAAATCATGAAAATAAGTTTATAAAAAACATGACTAAGCACTAGCAGGCCAAGTAAGTAGAAAAGCTTGTAAAACGCGAGCAATACTCGAGAAGAAAATAATCTTCACACGTTTTACATTTGTGAGCGGATGTGTGTATGTGTGTGTGAGCATTTTTTTCGCAAGAATTAAACGAATTCATTTTTGGAAATTTGCTACTTAAATTAATGATTGAATTTTTTGTAATTCTCTTGCAACATCTAATATATGTCACTGGGGAGCAGGGGACACTTTTTATATCTTTTTTAGAGGATATTCCAGTTTTGTTGTGAACCGTCTCCGACGCCATAAAGTATACATATGTATATATTGTTGAGCAGCATCAATGGAAAGGTTCGTCTATCTGTCAGTCCTCATTTATATCATATATCTCCCATAGGAAGAATAGATCGAAAAATGTACGTTGTAGGATTAAAATAGGCATAGCCACTTATGTCATCCTTTCGGATACAATTAATATGAACTGAGCTGATTAACTCTGATCTATAAGGGTATGTGGTAGATAACCATTCTTTGTCGTTTTTTTTTTTTTATATTAAACAATTGCAAATCGAAATGGAACCAACGAACTAGTTTTCAGTGATTTAATATGAAACTCCTTTTTCTATAGAAATTTCTCTACAAAACAAGGAGAAGGAGAAAGGAAGCAATAAAACTCAACTGGAAGTCAATTAATTAACAATCATGGACGTGTCACAGCCACCGCCACAGCTGTTGACGGCGCCATCGGCGCTGGCCACAAATTTCACATCAATGCCGCCGCCATCGATGGGCCAACACTACAGACACTACCATCCCCATCATGGAGCCGGCAAGCAGGGCTACAATCACTTCAAGCCCTTCATGCCCGGCGGCTTTCAGCGGCCGTTTGGCATGTCGCAGGATGACTTCGATGGCAAGCGACTGCGCAAGAGTGTTATGCGCAAAACAGTTGACTACAATGCGTCCATAATCAAAGAGCTGGAGGTGAGTAAGATGGCACTGACGTCCTTCTCCTCTTTGCTCACGCTTGTGTTATTCGCATTTTAGGCACGGCTCTGGCAACGCGACTATCGGGATCGACTGGCGCTGCAACCGGACAGCATTTATGTGCCGCAGATGCTGCCGCCGTCCAGCTATCTGGACAATCCGGCCAATGCAATAACAACACGCTTCGTGAAGACAGCCACAAACAAGATGCGCTGTCCGATCTTTACGCTCGCGTGGACGCCGGAGGGTAGAAGACTGGTAACTGGCGCCAGTTCAGGCGAGTTTACGCTCTGGAATGGCCTCACCTTCAACTTTGAAACCATTCTCCAAGTGAGTTCTTGTCTCTAAGTGGAAATGCGATAATTATAACAATCGAAAATATATATTTAGGCTCACGATATTTCGGTGCGGACGATGGTGTGGTCGCATAATGACAGCTGGATGGTGACTGGTGATCATGGTGGCTATGTGAAATACTGGCAGTCGAACATGAACAACGTGAAGATGTATCAGGCGCACAAGGAGGCGATTAGGGGAATAAGGTATTGCCAATCTATGATTGTAATTTGTATCAGTTGTACTTACCATTTCGCAGCCGCCGTTGTCGCAAGCACGAGGGCACCACCGAACCACCCAAGTTTAGATTGTTTACAGTTGCGCAGCTGCAGTTTAGTATCATCTAGATCTCTTAATGTTCTCCTCCTCGCCATCTGGCTTGTGGTGATTACAGCTATATAGTTTTTAAATAGTGGCGATTTGTTTTTGTTTATGTTCCTTTTTTTGTTGGTCGATTCCTTCCTTCGGGGGCTGTTGCGATTGAAAATCAATAAAGCCGTCACTTGAGCAACATGCCAGGTCTCTCTCCAGAATATCTGTTTGGCGCATTATTTTCCCCACTTAGTTTCGCATAGTCAAGTCAAGTCAACTACTAAGTTAAAAAACAAAATCAGTGTAAGAATTTGTTGTATTTACTACTACTACCACCTCTGTGATCTAAAGACTGTGATAATCAATTCAAAAAAAGAAAACAAATAAAGGCAAACTAACAAATGAAAAACTAAACCTTCTGCACAATTTTATTGGCGCGTAGCAAAAATAATAAAAAATGCTGAAAGCAACAAATCGATGTGTTCAAAATCGGGGGTTCGAGTGTTTTCTTTAAAGCCTGCTGCTGCTGCTGCTGCTGTGAGAGGGAGGGCGGGGTGATTTATTTACACACATATATATATTGTATTTGTGTTTCGTTTCCATTTTCTAACTTGGCTGTCTCTCGAATCCAACACCAATCCAATACCAAATCACATCCATCCACAACATAGTTTCAGTCCCACGGACAGCAAATTTGTCAGCGGCAGTGATGATGGAACTTTGCGCATCTGGGATTTCATGCGCTGTCAGGAGGAGCGTGTGCTGCGCGGTAAGTAGAACCAAATGACCCCCCCTAATTCCTAACTGACTCTACTCTGATCGCAGGCCATGGCGCGGATGTGAAGTGCGTGCATTGGCATCCACAGAAGGCAATGATTGTCAGCGGCAGCAAGGATAACCAGCAGCCCATCAAGATCTGGGATCCCAAGAGCGGCATAGCACTGGCCACACTGTAAGTATAATAAATTCCATCCGTATAGTGCATCCATCTAACTGTTGCCACATGCTGCAGTCATGCGCACAAATCGACCGTCATGGATCTCAAGTGGAACGACAATGGCAACTGGCTGGTCACTGCGTCACGGGATCATCTGCTCAAACTGTTCGACATTCGCAATCTGCGCGAGGAGGTTCAAGTGTTTCGCGGCCATAAGAAGGAGGCCAGCTCAGTGTCCTGGCATCCCATACACGAGGGTCTCTTCTGCTCCGGTGGCTCCGATGGTTCCATTCTCTTCTGGAATGTGGGGTAAGTCCATTCAGCCGACATCTCTATGAGGGATGTCTATTAATAGTTCCCTAAACCAATTGCAGCACGGATAAGGAAATTGGATGCGTGGAGACGGCACATGACAGCATTGTGTGGACACTCGCCTGGCATCCACTCGGGCACATTCTGTGCTCTGGCTCCAACGATCACACCATCAAATTCTGGACACGTAACAGACCCGGAGATCTAATGCGGGACAAGTACAATCTGAATACGCTCCCCGCCAGCTTGGCGGCACTCGACGAATGCGAATACGGTAAGTCTAGTAAAAAAAAACGATATTTCCTTCGATTTGACTTGGTTTACTCGCAGACGATGCCGTCATACCGGGCATGGGACCCGAGGATAAGGTGGAGTTCACCGAGAGCCTTACGGCCGACAAGGGCTTTATACCGGGACTGGATTTGGATGCCGGCAGTAGGACAGGCGGCGATAAGAAGGTGCCTTACACCAAGCCCATCCCACGCAATTTCCAGGTGCAATGGGCCGGACCACGACGAGCCGATGATCCGAGTGTGCTCAGCATACACGATGAGCTGGCGGCGCGCGAATCCAAGGACTCGAGCAATGGTCTGACCCACCAGCAGATCAGCGAGAATACGCTCGAAGGCATCCTGGCCAGCGGCATGCTCAACGGCCTCGATCCCCAAACGATTGTTGGCGTCTTTGTGTATGGGCGCTTCATACGAGTGCATCCCGACTCGAGACTGATGGGCGCCATTCGCCAGGGCGCCGAATACCTGAACAAGTACATTGATGCCGGTAAGCTGGAGGAGCTGTGCGATGTTGTGCCCATGAAGGAGCGGGAACGAGAACGTTCTCGATCGCTCTCGCCCACGGTGGAGACGGCACAGGGACGTGGCGAGGTTTCACCGCCACTGAAGAAATCACGCTTTGAGCCACGCCAGCACAATGCACAGCTGGTGTGCGTGCGCGAGCTGCTGTTGCTCAAGAAACCCTTCCTGCCGTCCCTGCTGACCGTTAAGGCGCAACAGCCGAAAACCGAGTTCATCGATGAGCCCTCGAGCTACGGCAACGGATCACCCATGGATTCGGCCTCGCGCGACGATTCAAATGGCCGACCCAATCCGTGGGCTTCGAATGCACCCTGGTCTAACTATGGCAATGGCAATGGCAACGGCTCCTCCTCCAATCAGAATGGATATGGCAACAATGGAGGCGGCGGCGGCGACAACTTCAATGATCGGGAACGTGATCAGTTCCAAAAGAGTGGGAACAACAACAACAGCAATAGTGGACAGCAGCGACGTAGGCGTGGCAACAATGCCGGCTCGGGTGGAGGAGGCGGCGGCGGTGGCCGGAATCGGGGTCGCAACAACAGGCGCTTCTAGTCCAACCAATTGCTGCACGGACCAAAACAAAAACTCAACACAAACACAACCCACATTCTGAACATACGTTTTGTAATCATACAAAAAAAAAGAAAGAAAATCAAATATTTACTTGGCTTGTCAAGTTCAACTCCATATTATGCATAATACAATTTATATATATTATTTTAGAAATGCTAGCGAACACAACTGATTGTCATTTGTAACTGCAGTTCCTTGTACTTATCGACGATAACAGCTAATCGATGCGATAATTAATAGATTCGATAACTAGCAGCAGGCAAGGGCAGCAATTGGCACGCCGCCTCATTATATCGAACGCATATTTGAAACTCCCAATTGGCAAAATCTGTTCCAATGCGCTCGAAGTGAAATTGCCTTTAAGCTGCTCGGCATTTTAACAGTTGCACATGCATTGCGTAACAGCTATGAACAATAGCGTGCTGCAATTATTATTATTATTATTGCGTTTTTGTTAACTCGGTGTTTAATTTTGAATTGTGTCATTTGTGAAACGTTAAATTAGGTGAATTAATTCTAATACTAGGCGGCTAGCGAATTGCGGCGACTGCTCCGCTTGCTGCTGCTGCTGCCACGTCTTTCATCATCCCCATTATCATTTGCATCGCTCGCCTTGCCATCACTGGACAACATCCCCTGCCTGCTATCCACCTCCAGTTGGCTGTCATTCGCAGCGAGATGGTTGTCCGGCTTGCGCTGATGTCGAAACGTCTGCTTGATTTCGCGCACCTCCTCCCGCATCCGATCCTTGGTGTGCTGTTCAATGGTGCGCTGGATTTGCTCAGCGGATGCCACCAATTTATCAGCCTCGAGAACAACACGTTTCGATGAATTGCTGCGACTGCGGCTCCGACTCCGACTACGATTGTGTCTAGCACTGCGACTGCGACTACGCCGCTCACCTCCTCGCCGTGAATTCGAGTGTGTGCGGGAGCGGGAACGGGAACGGGAATAGCTGCTGGAGGAGCGTGAGCGACGCGTCGAGGCCAATTTGCGATTCTTGCGCTGCACCGGCGATTTACTGCGATTTCGCGAATGCGAGCGGCTGTGGCTGCGTCTGCAAATGGATAGATCAGATTATATATATGGACGATACTAATGGGATTCCCTTTGCACATACCTGGAACGAGATGAGTAGGACGATTTGCGGTAGTTGGAACGACTACGGCTGCGACTGCGCGAATGCGAGCGCCTGGAACGACAAATGAGACTACAAAACATATATCAATATAAGCTAAACCGCATCAGAAGGAGGCATCAATGTCTACTTACCGACGACCACGCGATCGACTGCGACTGCGAGAATAGGAGCTGGAGCGTGAACGATTTCTGCAGTAGAAGAATATATATATATTTGTTATAGTATATAATTATATTTGATCAAAGCGTTTACCTGCCGCGTGATGACTTGTGATAGTAGCCATCGTTGCCTTCATCGTCGTCGTAGCGACCGTTGTCGTAGTGCTTCGGATTGTAGTAGGAGGAGGAGTGGCCATCGTAGCCAATGCGACTGCCCCGCATGCCCCTGCCACGTCCGCGTCCGCGTGGACGCGGCGCATATCCGCGATAATTGCTTGAGACGGCAAATGGAGGTGGTCCGGCCGGCCGGTAGAGTGCCGCACCGGGAAAAACTGGCGCCATACCGTAGCCAAACATGGACAGAGATTGCATCCATTCGTTGGCCGCCTCAGCGCTGTACGCAGCTGCTGTGCCTGGTACGGCGCCAGCTGCCAGAGCGGCCGTCACAGCCTTGAACGGATTGAGGGCAGCCTGCGCAGCTGTGGCTGGATTTGCGTTTGCATCGGCGATGTTGCCATTCAGCTTATGCTTCCTTCTGCCCGACATTGAGTTGTCCTCGTCCTCGCTGCTCGCTGCTGCACCGGCTCCAGCGCCGGTGCTCTTTGTGCTCTTGCTCTTGAGCAGACCCATGAGCGGTGTATTCGTTTTGATTTCATGCACAATCTTACGCTGATCACAGACCAGCTTCTCTGTGGCAGTTTTGTACTTCTCCACCAGACGCTTGCGCTGCAAATCCTTTGCCTCATCATGCTTGACACGTTGCGACTTTTCCTTTTGCTTGAGCTACAAGATATGATAAATTAAGATATGCAAATTGGCATGGAGATTGGCTCAGTTCCTCACCTGTATCCGCTCGAAGACCTGCTCCAAGATGCGTATGCTTTCGAGTTTGCGTTCCACAATCATCAGTTTGCGCTCCTCGAGCCGTATCTTCTGTGAGTTCTCCACCTGGCCACGCTCCTGTATCTTTTTCAAGTGCTTCTCCTTGCGTTTCTCCTCGCGTTCGCGTTGTTTCTCCAATTCGGCTAATTTCAACTGCTCTTCCTTTTGCCTGTAAATTTGTCGTGCACAATTTTGCTCACATGTTTTTTGTTGTTTTTGTTATTTTGCTAAGAGAACTTATCAACCGTTTCGTCTGGAAGAGTCAGAAAACTGTGTAACTCGCCACACCATGAATATCCACATAAATATATCTATATATACATATATATATATATGTGACACACACGGTTCAGATAAGTAACAACTGAACAGAAAATGAAACCGATGCACTTTGCTCAACAGCCAAAAACGTTTGCGGTTTGCCCCTGACAACTTATGAAGATATACTCGTACATATAAATATATATATTTATATCTTAACTTCTATGTTGGTTAGATAGTATAAAGCCTTTTAATTACATTTAGCCATTACTCTATGGCAGTTAAGGAGTTCTTAAATGCCTCATTGGAATAATGTGATAAGTACCAATCGAAATTCTGCCTGATCTCTAACCCCAATATAACTAAATCTCAGCTATAACTACAATATTTGATATAAATTGGAAAACTGCTGCCGCAAACATCTTTAGTGTTATTATCAGTGAATGAATGAATCGATGAATTCAAACAGACGGTTTCAAATTCTGCCCATTTAGACGGACGACAAACAATGGTCAAACCTTTCGCGTTCCGCTTGTTCGGCCAGATTCTTCTTTTCACGCTCGCGCTCCTCATCCTCGGCTTGGGCCTTGGCCACGCAGCGCTTTCGCATGCGATCGCGTCGTTGAATGTGCGAATCGCTCAAATGTCGCTGCTTGTCGAAGTTCACGTTGATATTGATGGCCTGCGTCTTGTCCACGAATTTACGCACCAGCTTCGTGCTGCGAAACTCATCCATGGCACGTACAAAACTTGAATACTCCTCAAACTGTACGTAGCTGAAAATATGAATAGCAATTAGCAACTCTATAATGAAGGATATATTAATGACAGCTTACGCCTCGAAGAGCACATCCTGTTCAAAGCTAAACGTTCGCATGCCACTGATGTCCGATTGCATACTCTTTCGATACGGATCGCAGATGGGTATATCGACTGCGCGAACCCGTCCATATTTCTCAAAGATGCGCTTGAAGATGCTTTCGCTGGGCTTGACCTGGTCGTCGTGCTCGGAGTGACGCGGACAGAACCAGCGGATGGGCAGGTGTGTCATATGAATTGTGTCTGGACGCTCGCCCGCCTTCATCTCGTCCATGTTGCGAGCATCACGAAAATACGAGTCCCAATCGTGGCGCGTGGGAAACTCATCCTTTGACTCAGTGCAGCGCACCCGGAACGCATCACTAAAGCCGGACAGACGCAATGTGATGCCATCGAGGCGATCGACGGCCAAACGCAAACGCTTGCGCTCGTCCAGCTCCGCCTCGAAGCGTATATAATTGACGGTGCTCTTGGAAACCTAAGGGCAAATGAGTATGAGATTTATATATCAAGTATTTACTCCTTACTCTTTACACTCACTTTGAGCACGAGAAACTTGTCCGGTTTCAGTTCGGCACTGAGTTTGTCCATTATCTCCAGATTTGATACGGATTTGCCGGTTTTGATTTTTTCGGGCAATGCAACTGATATTTGCATTTTGGCCAACGGCTTGAGGTACAAGCTGTGCGGCAAATAGAGCGGCGTGCAATCCGCCACATTTTCTATCGTCTGGATGTTGATCATATTTTGTATACGGTTGGTTTTTTTTTTGGATTTTAGTTCGTGTTTAGTGTTTTTTTTTTTTGTTCGATAAAATACAATGCAATTAAGGTAAAATACAAATAGTACAATTTATAAAAAATATAAACTACATATATATTAGAATCTCAAGAAATGAAGGTGTGTGTGTGTGTGTGTATATATGAAATGTATGTGTTGCCCCCGACCCGTTTCCCTGGCCTAAATATGTTTGTATGTATATCCGATGATGACGATTTTTCAAAGTGTGTGAGTTTTGAGTGGTGTGTCCGCGAGTAAATCGGCGTCTGTGTGTGTGTGTATTTTTATGACGAAATCGTCACCACGGTGTTAATCTACTTAATCCTAATAATATTTTGACTTTTTATTGCGAAGTTTTCCTAAAAAAAAAACACGTTATTAGTTTTTTAAGTTTGACGGTTTTGCACTTTTTCTTCACTATTCGAGTCAAACACTATCGGCGTATGAGAGTGAAGAAAGAGTAACCGCTCACGATGTCTACTCGATTATTATACTCGTTATCGACAATTGTCAATTGTGAATTATCTGTTGTTTTGTTTGGCGTAACATAATCTATCGATTACAGCTGTTTTTGAATCGCTAACGCCGTTTTTCAATCCAATTCAAACAAACTTAGTTTTATTTTGTATGTTTACGCTTACACTACTTCACACTTACCTGTATAATAAATGTTGTCATGATTCATTTATGTTAAATAACCCTCTTTGGGTAGCATATGCATAAATTGAATTTTGTACGCTGTAAATAACAGGTGACCAAATGTTAACGTTATTGTCGCTGTTATTATTAAAAAAGAAGAAGAAAGAGGAACTACGAAAGTGCGTTATTTCATTTTTATACTGTTTAATTTAATTAGAAATTTAAGTAATTCAGCAATATGCGTGTGTGAAATTGATATAATATTAAAAACTAACCAGAGCCCAACGGCACAGCATGTAAATGGCAAAAAACTGACGTGAAATACAACTGCCAACAACAACAAAGCACAGCAGCAGCGACCAGCAGAGCAACAACAACAACAACAGCAGCAGCAACAACAACGCAATTGTGATAGACAAAGAAATAGATTAAGGGGGAAACGAAACACACAAAAAGGCCCAACAAAAAAAAGAGGAAATAAAGCAAAACGAAAACAAAACGCAACATTTTAAAATATATCGCGCGAGTTTTTAGGCAGCTTTTGCGCATAGAATCGTGTTTTTTTATACGCAACGAAAACAGAAAACAGATAATAAGGAAAACAGCCAGCGAATGAGCAGACAAAAGCAATGCGATAAAAAATAAATAAGAACACATAAATTAAAAGAAGGAAAAAAGCTGGCGCTGACGCTAACAGTAACGCTGAAAGAGAAGCGAAGGGAGCTGAAGGAGCGAAAGGAAAAGCAAAAGCTGGATAACAGCAGCTTTTGTTTTGGACTGAGACGTCAGCGTCGTTGCTGCTGCTGACACGCACACAAACTCAAATACACACAGAAGCACACACACACACACGCTCACATATAGCCACAGCTGATGTCAAACCGTTTGCAGCGTTCGTGTTTGTGAGCGTTCACAATTGATTAAAACCAAAACACACCACAAAACAAACAAACAAACACTCGAACATACGCATATAAACAGACAGACACACATATACAGGCGCCATTGTGAAAATTGATTAAAGATTACAAGGTAAGTGCGATGCACACCGTTTTAATTAAGAAACATAGTTATAGTTTATGCATAAGGATCCACCCAAAGCAACTATCAATGATGCCCTTTTAGTTACATTCATTTTGAATATAGCCGCCTATAATACCCTTTCCCTTCCCAGCCCTTTCCACTTCATTCCTTGCCATTCCCCTCTCTCTCTTGTGGCAAATGCAGCCCTGCACCTGCTGCCATTTTCTTTTTGAACGTCAGCGCAGGCAACCCTTGTTTTTTTGCCTTGCTTGCCCTTGTTATTTTTTGTGGTATGTTCGTTTGTTGGTTTGTGTGCGTCAGTTCGAGCCAAATTACAATTAATTGCAACAATTTACATATATAAAGCGCATATCTAAATTAGTTTTCCCAGAAATTATAACGTTGGTAATTGCAACTGTCATTTCTTGGTCTCTCTCTCTCTCTCTTTTTCTCCACCTGTGTGTCTACGATTTCTCTCAGTTCTTTGGCTACTCCAAAACAATCGGCGCGTAGAATAATGCAACGTAATGGAAAATAACAAAGTGCAGGCCAAAACAATGCACAAACACACACACACACTCATAGTGTTGGTAGTGGCCAGTGCTGCCAACTGTGCGACAATAATATCATATGCATGCATATGCATCATAAACTTGTTGTTGCTGTTACACAAATGTAATCGTGCTGTGATCACGCATCAGCTGTTCCCAAACAGCTGCCTGACCGTTTTTAAAGAACAGGATTTTAAAATACTCTGTAAGTTCTACTGTTTAACTGGCCTTGTTATTCATTTATCGTACTTTGATTTTCTGTTGCCTTGAAATTTTGCTTGCGCTGCTAGTCTAAGTAGTGTGCCTACTGCGATACTATATGTGTATGCGTCTGTGTCTGTGTGTATGTGATGTGGCCATTGCCAACAATAACAATATTTACGCGTTATTTTTTTTTTGCGACTTCACAAAAACAAAATGTGACATTCGCATTGTGCGTACGTACTTTGTATATGTGTGTGTAGGTGTGCGTGTGTGTTAGAGTTCCTTCTCTTGATTTCGTGCTGCTGTTGTTGTTGCCCCCCTGCAAAGTGACAAAGCGGCGATAAACTCTGACGTCGTCGTCGTCAGCGTTGACGTTGTGACTGCTGTTGTTGAAATGTAATCAGTTAGCGTATTAAGAGATGCTGCTGAATGACCCCAGCAAGCAGAGTTCAGGGCAGTCTGCAAAGTTACCCCTCCTCCTCATCCCTTTTCGTATGCTAACAGCTGTTATCTTTGTCAGCAAAGTTGATTTATGCGCTTTAATTACACTGTATGTCACACAGTCACCTGTACAAGTATGTGTGTGTGTGTGCGTGTGTATGTATATGTGTATATGCAGGCATAGTCTTTGTACTTAATTTGGTTGATAAGCCATTATCAGGTGAATAACGGTGAATGCGGCGATCAGTTTCACTGATGAGTAATCGAAAGGCAATGCTGTCATTTGCAGCTGCTGCTGCTGCAATTACTACTATTTCATGTTAAATCGTAAGACTAAAGAAAAACAGTTTAACTCACAAGACAACGAGCATTTTTTACATTTTCCAGCAGTATAGGCATATATTTTTCGCGTAGGGTTTTATTATATACTTAATAAAGTAAATCTAAGAAATATGAAAGAAATTTCCCAAAATTATGAAATTGGCCTGTGTAGGTAAGAACCAAAAAAGAAAAAAAAAGAATACAAGTTTACGTTAGCAAAAGGCGACGCAGGTAATAAATACAAAACGCATTATTCCCCTGTAAATCGCTCGCACTCGCTCTCTCCTCTGTCGCTCTGTCTCTCTCTCTCTCTCTCGCATCCATTTAAATAGTGGGATCGTGAGAGCACAAAGCACACGTGTACCGCTGCTCTCTCGCTTAATAGCAGCGACGTGAGCGTCGACGTCAGCGTCGGCGTCAATGGCTGTCAGTTGTATTTGTTACGCCCGCAAGTCTAGACGTTGTTTTCATTTTTTGTTGTTTAAATTTTGTTTTTGCCTTAGGTGTGTTGATAGTAATAATCCATGTTGTTGTTGCTATTGTTGTTGTTTGCGCGTGTGTAATTTAGCTAGAGCGGCGTTTTATTTTTCTTATATTCTTATCGCTTCAAGAATGCTGCTTGCCAAAGTTTGCCAGACAATTTGTAAACACTATTATTATGAATACAAAAACGAGAGTAGAATAAACAACCAGAAACAATTTTCCGTATTAATTCCAACTTTATAACGATGGCGGCCAGCAGCAATCAGGCTAGTCACTCAAAATTTGAACTACTGGACACCCCCAGCAGCGCCACACTGTCTAATCTAGTTGGCATGTTATCGCTAACAGTAGATCACATTAACAGTAGACTGTGTTAACAGTAACAGTAAAAACCAGCCCACGTGCGTCTCGAATAGATAGAAAACAAATATCAACCAATGAGTATCGTGTAAATAAAACCCCTGTTAAAACTGCGCCACTGTTAACTCATTACTACATACATAATATATATATGTATTGTGTATATGTATCTCTCTCTTATGCTAACGTGCTTTGCAATGCAGCCTCTCAACACTAGGTGGCAGCACCACACAAAAAGAAAGACGTATGAACACAGAAAGCATTAGCAACATACATAAAATCCCTCTGAAACTGCGCCACTGTTAACACGTTATTACTTACATACAATTCAATGTATACATATATATGTATATCTTCTCTTAAGTTGATTTGTTTTTCATTGCAGCCTCTCAACACTAGGTGGCAGCACCACACATAAAGAAAGACGCATGAACACTGAAAGCCTTAGCACTGCCAAACAAAAACGAGACAAGAGGAAGAAGCTGAAGTGAAGGAGAAGGTGGAAGGAGGAGCTGGAGGAGGAGCAGTAGGAGAAGCCCAACCCCCACCCCATCCAATAAATATTGTTAATCAAACTCGATCCCGGCGACCCCTGAGGAGAAATCAGCGCCCATGATGCTGTACGTATTTCATGTGGATGTCGGTCGCATGCTGAGCTTCGACATGACCGTCGCTTTGTCCTCGGTGGAGAATCTGAAGGAGACAATTCAGCGGTTGCATGGCCTGCCCGCTGCCAATATTGTGCTGCTGGTGAGCGGCGGCGAGATGCTGACACACTCCACACAGGTATCCTGCTACTCTGCCGGCACCGACACGAATCCCATTTTCATGTTTCTCACCGGCGACGAGCGACTGGCGCCCACGATAGCAAGCGGAGCTAGCGGCGGCGGCGGTGGCGCTTCCGGTGGTTCATCAAATGATGCATTCGATGCGGAACTGCAGCGTCAGGTGGACAACAGCCATAGGTTGCCCGCGGTGCTGGAGACAGTGCGTCAACGGTCGGCGCTCGCGCAGCACATGCGCGAAATGGGCCGTAAGGAGGAGCAGCTCTGCGAGCGTCTCGTCCACGAACAGCATCTGCAGCAGCAGGGCTGGTCGGCTGTGGTCGCCAACATGGAGGATGTGACGAGCGAGTTCAGCGAACGTTTCCACAACTTTTGTTTGGCCTTCGATCGGCATCTGGAGCAGCGCGAGAGTTATTTGGAGCTGTTGCGCAACTTTGGCGATGATCTCAAGCAACTGGCACGCATACCAATTCTGCCCGCTCTGATGACGCTAGCCCAGGCTGATTTCCATGGCTTCGACGAGCTGCTCGACAACGAGGATGTGGAGCAGATGCAACGCGAGACGGGGGAGTCGGCTGGTGAGCCGGGCAGTGAGAGTAGTGTGGAGAAGAGCAGCAGCAGCACATCGCCCAACAAGAAACTCAAAATGGGCCATGAACTCGAGGAGCAAGAGGAGCAAACATCCTCCAAGCACCAACAACAGCAGCAGCATCAGCTGAATCTGCTGCAATGGATTAGCTCGAAAGGTAATCACACAGCACTGCAGCAGATGTGCGATGAGTGTGTCCAAGGTTTGGAGACCTTCTCCGTGGAGATTTACGACAAACTCAAGCTGGACGTGCAGAACATCATCAAGGTGGCCAAGCAGACGGACGTTAAGGAGATCAAGGGCCTGAGTGATCGCCTGTATCGGCTCGACGAGCTCAAGTACAAGATACGCAAAATGGTGCAGGATCAGCGGGAACAGGCCACAGCCCTGCAGCAGAATGAGTCGCGTGCGTTGAATTTGCGGGACGATTCAGTGCTGCCGGATTTGTGTCTGTCGCATCGCTCCCAGCTGCAGGTGATGCTCGAGAATCATTTGCGCATTCGGGAGTATTGTCGTTGCATTGCGAATGCCAAGGATGAGCTCGGCCGGAATCTGCACACGCGTCTGCGTCGAATCGTCTGGATCGAGAATGGGATGAGCGAGTTCGATAATCGTTTGCTATTCTATCATCGCTGCCTGCGCCGTGCCGAGCGACACATCAGCATCATCGAGCAGATCCATCGGGCGCCGTCCACTTATGTGGCAGCCGTCACGGAAGTCGTCCGTCGCAAGATCTTCTCCGATAAGTTCCGCTTGTGGGCATCGCGTCTCTCCGTCGACTTTGATCGCATCCATGGCGAGGAGCTGCAACGGCGTCGCCTGTTCAATAATAGCTTCGACGGTCACTTCTTGAATATCCTTTTTCCGGGCATGGCCGATATGCCGCCAACGTTTGCCAACGAGCATCCCGAGCTGAGCTTCGACACACGTCTGCCCCAACTCAGTCGCTCCGACATCGAGCTTCTGTCCATCCAGCTGCCTGAGCTGGCCACCCAGCTCCAGTTGCCCGATATGGCACCAGTGTTGCAGTTCTTTGTGCAGCGCAACAAGGACATCGGTGAGCAGCTGGAGCTGGATACGGATGCGGATACGGATACGGCTGCTGCTTCTCCCGTCTGTAAGCAAAGTGTGAGCACGTCAAGCACCAGTCTGATTGCTGGCCAAATTGCACGCAGCACAGCCACAGAGCAGCTGCTGATGCTGAGCGCCAGCACGCTGACGGATGACAATGCGGGAAGTGTGCAGCGGCTGCGGGATGCACTGCAGGCCATGTCCAAGCTGGCGCTGCAGTGCCTGGCCATGGCACGCTCCAATCTGAGCAGCCTGCGCAGTGAGCTGACCACGCACTATCAGGATGAGCTGCAGTCGGAGCTGCAGCTGCTGCAGGACAAGTGGCAATTGTTGCGCATGCAGTGCGAGCAGCGGGATCAGCAGCAGCAGCAACTGCAGCAGCGTGATCAGCAGCAGCAGCAACTGCAGCAGCTGGAACAGTTGGAGCAGCTGGAGCAATTGCGCCAACAGCTGATCGCTGCCGAGCAGGAGAAGCTGGCCGCAGTGGCGCAGGCACGCGAAGAGTTGATCCACGAGCACAAAACGGAGTTGGAATCGCTGCGGTGCCGCTTCAAGCTGATGACCTCGATGGAACGGTCGCCGTCGGACAGCAGCCTGGAGAAGGTGGAGCGACCGACAAGCAGCGCCAGCGTTGCCAGTCTCGATGTGGAGCAGCTGTTGGCGCAACAACGTCAGGATTTGCTTGCCCAACGCGATCGTGCAATCAGCGAAGCTGTCCAAGCTGAGCGTGCTCTCTGGGAATCCCGACAACAGGAGCAGCAGCAGCAGCAATCGTTGCCACAACTTAACTCAGAATCTGTGATGGTGAATGTGTCCATATTGAAGGACATGCTGGAGGATAAGGAGCGACAGCTGGACATGCTGCGCGAACAGAATCGCCTGCTCAACCAGGAGAATTATACACTGAAGACACGCTTCGATCTGCTGACCAACGAGGATGGCAACAGTTGGCTCAAGGAGAAGATCGAGTATCTCAATCGCGACAAGAATCGCCTCGAGGAGGAGCTCTGCCTGGAGAAGGGCAAGCGTCTCGAAATGGAGTCCAGTGTGGCAGCAATGAGAAGGTTAGCTAACAATTTCCATATATATATATTATATAATTTCAATCCAATTATTTTCAATCTCTAAGCAGTTCCGCTTTTGATATGGCCGGCACTCTGACACGCTCCAAATCCAGTGGTGTCGCTGCCACCTCATCAGCGTCGTCGTCGAATCATCGCTTTATCACGCTCGAGGGTTGCGGCAAGGGTGATCTGGTGTTTGTGGTATGGAGCATGCGGCATGGCCAGTATATGGTCGTTCAGGATTCGGTGACCAAGTACTTTGTGCATGCGGACAGTCTGGCTGCACTGCAGCTGACGCCACCACCTCCTCCACAACTTCCTGCTGCTGGTGTTCTCGAGCTGAATCAGATACCGTTGCCCTACTACGCAATCGGGCGCGTCATCGACAAGGAGTACTGCCAGGCGCGCAAGGTGAGCTATCTGGTATATAGATTGCATACGAATCCAATAACTAAGCAACTGTTGTTTTTGCGCCACAGGATGAAAATCGCTATCGGGTGAGCAGGGGCTCCAAATTCTATCGCATCCGATTGTCGCCCGTGTCGTCCTCGCGAAATGCACCGCGACGCGAGCGTTTGGAATGTAAGTGAGTGCGAGAGCGAGAGCGAGCGGGTAGCTAAACAGTCACCAGCTGAACGAGCTGATGCTTACAACTTAAAACAAGCTCAAAGTCCTTTTATTTAAGTAGCAACTTATGTATATAGATTAACAGTAGTTACAACTTGTAGCAGGCCAGATAACAGACTGTAATAACATCTGTAACATAACATGCAACACTGTACATAAAATACGATATCGTTATCGATAGCGATTGCGATAGCGATCGATTACCAGCTTGTAGAAGATGAGAGCAGATCGTTACGTATAAAGCGAATTGAGCAGAACTGTTTACAAGATCTATTCAAATTAGCTGAAAAGTAGAAGCACTAGACTAAAATATATATGTATTTATTGAATGTGTTTGTCTCTATCCATATACAAGACTCTCTTACAGCTTTGACAGCAGACTAGACTCTAATTCCGATATGTATTATTTCAATTATTTGAAAATAATTGGATTTGAAAAACAAACATTGTCCTATAATTTATGAACAAATATTTGTTAAATAAGCTTGTTAATAAAGCTGAGTCAGTCTGAATATGTACAAACTTTATTTGGTTAACAGAATTCTCATTGTGCATTTGAAACACAACTAAAAACAAATGAAATCACGCTTCAGCGTTCATTAAATGTTGACCAACCGCTGTTATTAATTCAGATAAAAGTCAGATTTTTGTTGAAAATGACAAACGTGTTTATCTAATGTATGCTCTTTTTCAATTCCATCCGCATAGCAACAAGCTCGAGCGGCGCGATTAGTCGCTCCCAATTGGTGACAGCGGTGCGGGATGTGATCGAAGCTCCCGGCTCGAGCCTGGCCGGCAGCAGCGTTTATCTCAGCTTCAAGGAGCGCACGGTGAGCATAAGCAGCGTCAACGAGGAGGAGGACGAGTCTGCCTCGTTGCTCAGCGAACGCTGTCGCTACATTAGCGTAAGTGAGGAAGACGAATTGCTTGCTGGTGCTTCTGTTGTCGGTGGCAGCAGCACCGAAGCAACAGCAGCAGCAACAACAACAACAACAGCAACAGCAGCAACACCATCAATAGCAACAACAACGGCGGCAACTCAAGCACAGTCTGTGATAACAGAGCAGCCAACGGCATCAAGAAAACTAAAGTTGGATCTACTGTTGGCCTCTGCTGATATAATAACACACCCATTAACACAACAACCACAACAACAAGAGCAACAACAAGAGCAGGCACAGTCGGAGCCTGAGACGGAAACCACAACAACAACAACGATCCCCATTTATGAACCCAATCTTGTTTCGGATGCAAATCCCATTCAACTGACCGATGAGCCAGTTACCATCTATTTGTCCACAACGACAACAACAGAAACAGCCGCAGAAATAGCTGCAGCAACCACAACAGAAGCCGAAGCAGATACTACTTCAGATATTGTTGTTGTCGAGCCGAACTTATGCACAGCGGCGACTTTACCAATGTCGATTGGTGCCAGCACCACAAACGAGGACTCCGATGAGTATCGCTCGCTGGAGGGCAAGGAGGATGCCGATTTGCCCATTTCCGAATAGTGTATGAGATTTACAAAAGTTTATATATATATATATATATATAGGAAGATAGAGAGAGAGAGAGCTACATATATATGGTATGTGCATAGATCGGCAACGGTCGTCGCTACGTGTTTATCTAGGCTAAACTCTAACTATTTATATAGAATCCCCTTCTTAACAAGTAAGCCACAGCAGAGCCGACGGCAAACTTACACACACATACACACATACACGTACACGTACACAAACACACACACAAACAACTCACATAGCACATGAAGAAGAAAGTTATATACTTAAATAATTTAATGTTTATAAATTCAGTAAAAGAAAAAAACTAACGGCTAATGTTCTAATGTAGTTGTCTATAGTCCCTAGATCTATAATGTGTAATCTTATATCAGACCTGTAAATGAGTTCGATAAATGTCCCACACAATCCGCGCACACACACACACACCCACCCACCCACACTTTTACACACACACACAGACACAAATACAAACACCAACGATTTTTATTTAAAATAAAAATTACCACAAAATATTACAAAATAATCAAAAATTTAGATTTCGTTAAATCAAAAAATATATATATACATATATATATATATATGTATATTAATAATTCCCTTTAAAATTTTTAGTGCCAAGAAATTGTTTGCAATTCACATTATTTTCTAGTAACTAAAGTTGATATAAAGATACACACAAATTATATTTTTTATAGGAATTTTCACCGATCTTACATACCCCACCCATATACATTTATCTCACAAAAAATCTGAGATCTTTTTCTTATATTTGTGTTGCGGAGGCGTAGCCCCGCCCATTTAACACTTATGCTCAGCTCTCACTCGTTTAAAGCGTTTTGATTTCAGTGTTTAATAAATTAATTACAAAGAAAATCAAAGAAAACAAAACACACATGAAATGAAAACCAGACAGGAGGACAGACAAAACACACACAAATAAATATAAATAATATAAACAATCGTGAAAAAAATTTCGTGAAAAATTTAAGAAATTGATAAAAATGCTTAAGTAAAACAAAGCGCAACTGTATATAAAGAAAACACACAACACACACAAAAACTACATTTTACTTTTAAAAAAATTTAAATTTAAATAAAGGAGAAAATAAATAAACGAAGGTATAACAAACAAACAAATTGTCAAGTATATAACAAAAACGTGTAAAAGCGAAAATCAAATAAAAGAAACAAATTGTGAATAAAAAAAGCACATTTATTTTGGCGGCCAGAGAAAAACTGCGAAATGTTCCAAATTTACAGTGGAAATTGGAAATCTTTTTCTAGTTTTATTTTGGGGACAGCATAATTAAAAAATCCTGATAAGTCGTGATATTTTAAAATATACAAAATAATTTATTAGTTTAATATATATAATCTTATATAAATAATATGTATATAAGTCGATGCATGTAACTTTAGTTAATATTTGCATAGTTTAGGCTACAGTTTAGCTGATCTTTTCTCAAGCTTAACACGATTAGTCGGTGTGACAAAACGTGTCCAACAATTTGTATAGTAATTATGAGTAAATTGCGCTTTGACATGCCTCTTGGTTTGGTTAATAATTAAATGAGTTGAACAGTTAATTGCACATTCCGCCATAGCTAATTGGCAAAGGATTCCCATGACAAAGGTGTACCAAAAAGCACAGACATGGATACATTCATTAATTTTACAGGTGCGCGCATACAGACAAATGTATATCTCTATATACGTATGTATATATATATATATATTGATGGAATGCAGTGCAACATCAGTCTCCGTTATAGAAAAGTGGGCATAATACATAGAAAAGTCGGTTATATGGTTATCTATCAGCTAATTAGACAACAAATTTTAATAGCTGCATAAATTATTGCTCATGCTTCTTGTGCGCTGCTGATTGTTAATAATACCCTTGCAGGCGAGTCTAACAAATTGCTTAAGCAACTCAATTTAATAATATAAATTATGTACATATATACCTTTATAGCGATATTAGCTATTGCTTTTATCATCATAACTATGATGCTGCACGCGTGTGTGTAAGTGCCAAGAAAACATTTAAGTAGCATTAGCTTAAGTTTTAAAAGCAAACTAATTTTTATTTACGCTCTGCAAGGGCATTAAAATTTCATTTTGCTTGAAGTTTTCGCTATGTGTATAATTAGTAGAGCTTGTGCATATATTTCTTAATATACACACCTTCCCCCCTACCGTCACCCTACTCCTACTTCTACACCTCACCACACATCATGCGATAACTGAATCTGTGCACGACTAGTGAATGGCTCTCTGGCGGCTGTGACTCTGACTGTGGCAGCAGCTGCAACCAACGCTTGGCTGGCTACATGGCTACGTCTTCATTTGGGGCTACAAAATAATTGGGCGTTAAATATGCTCCAGTTTTTAATTGCCAACAGCGATACTAATAACCCTCCCTCCCTCTCCAAAAACCCCTCCTCCTTCTTCTCCACCCACCATCCCATTCCGTTCACAATATTCCACACTTTTTGAGCACAAATTTGCGCTTTCGCGCTGCACTGGAACCGCTACCCTTTTTGGCCGGACGGAGGACGATGGTGCCGCTGCTGGACTTGGTGAAGGTCGGACTGAACGCACTAATTGTAGGCGTGCTGCTGTAGGGCGGATGCGTTGAATGCTGTTGGCCATTGTCGCCGGTTGTTGTTGCTGTTGCTTGATCGTAGCTTTGCGTCATCAGCTGATGGCACTTGGTGGCCAAATAGCGGAAAACGGATGCAACATTGATGTCCTCCTTAACGGAGGTGCGTATGAGGCGACAGTTGAGCATTTTGGCCAACGTTTCCACTTCGTCGGCACTGACCACCGCCTGCTCGATGAGATCGATCTTGTTCTGGACTATCACTGTGGGTATTTCATTGCACTCGTTCTCCACCTTCCGTTTCCACTCCTTTATCGCATCGAACGAGGCCCGATCTGTTGTCGAGAAGACCAGCACCGAGGCCTGTGCGCCCCTATAATACGCCTTGGTGATGCAATCGAATTCCTCCTGGCCAGCGGTATCCCACAGCATGATGCGCACATCTTCGCCATCGATCTCGATCTGACGCTCCAGAAAATCGACGCCAATCGTTTTTTTATAGTCCTTGGTGAATATACCCTTGCAGTAGCGCTGAATCATCGATGATTTGCCAACGCCTCCATTGCCAACAATCACCTGCAAATGTAAGTAAAAATTGATTCATTATTCGATTTATCAGACAGAAGACATAATTAAATTCTATTTCTATATAAAAACTCATTAAGACTAATTGGTATATTTAATTATTATATTATTACAATGCAAAGGCAAAGGCATTTAATTTCTCAATTCATGTAATTATTAACCTCAATTTTTGAAATTCTTTCTGAATAGAAATTATGAAAATGGTAAATGGCCTCGGGAAACGACTGTTTCCGCTGTATTAACTTTCAGAAAAAAAAGAAAATATATTTGAAAAGATGATCGCTTTGCATGATTGGACAAGTCATTTGAATTTATGGATATGCTTTCGCTTAATCCTCAAGAGGAAGCTTGAATGCAACAGTGCAACAATGCAACATTGAAAACCAGTCATTTCAGTTACATTTCCTCAGAACTCCCCATTTATAAGCATAAAAGAACCGTTCTCTAAACGACCCGTGATTATTCTGCCTGTCGTTAGGCGTACATATGGCTGTGTGTGTGTGTGTGTGTGTGTGTGTGTGTGGGAACAGGTATCTCTGATTGTCGAGGTTATTATTTAACGCTTATCCACAGCACACGAAATAATTTTGCTTTACCACAGCAGCTGATTGGACATAAAGTCATTCATCTGTCTGTTGCTATTGGATGTTGAATGGGGTATTGGTGTGAAGGGAGGGGATTGGTGGGGTTTAACTTACCACCTTAATGGCGAGCTCGATGTCGTCCTCACGCATGCTACTGTAATTGTATTGGGACTGCAGAGCCGCAGCAGCAGCGCCGCCCGTTGCCGTTGCCGTTTGGATTAACAGACGCATCGGCGGCCCCAAACAATCCGCTGTCGTGTTTGGGTTCGGATCCAGATGATGGGCACACGCAATGCTAGCGCAACCAACTCTCCAAATGCGTGTTTTTCTTTTATTTTCTTTCCTTTTTTTTTGGCAATGTTCAGTTTTCACTTTTTAGTTTTCCACCGCCTTTGGCTTTGCGTAATGTCAAAGCAAGTGCAATATTCACTTTCTATGCATTGATTTCACCAAAAAAATCGAATACCGAAACTGGAATTATACAGAAAGAAGAAAAACCAACGTCACGAAAAAATTAACACAACACACAAATTGTAAAACGCACTGGCTACAAAAGTTTTTCTTTCATTTTCACAGCAACCGGTTTTTTTCTTCTTTTTTTTTGTAAGTGCGCTCTTTTTTTTCTTGCTTTCCTGTTTTGAGTTCGGGGCGGGCGATGACTGCGGCTTCTAATAAGACGCAACGCGAGCCGGTTACATTTATAGCAAGCGAGCAACAGGTGCTATCGAGAGACACCTTTCAGCTCACGCATCGCTCGTCGCACAGTGGTTGCCATTGCCAAGATCAGAGATCTCTCCCTCTCTCTTTCTCTCTCACACACACACACACACATACATACATATGCATGACATTAGCGCGTGTTTATGAATTCTTTTGAAATGTTTGGGAATTAACTGTGTGTCGGTGGTCTATCTAAACGTAGGTTTTGATTGCCATATACCATGCCACTTTACTGACAATGGCATATGTAAAAATAGTTTTTATTTATGATCTCGAAAGGAAATAAACCTTTTTTTTAATTTCTTCTTTGCTGGCTCAACTTTAAAGTCTTAATAACTTTAACTCTTTCGATTTCAAAGCAATCATTAACATTCAATTCTAATTCATAAACTCCAATAACATTTACATTTAGATTAATTCTAAATATCAGCTATTGTTTTTTGTTATGTGAAAACCACTGTGCAACATTTGACCGCGCGCTCTTTTGTTGCCTTTCGCTCGTTCTAATTATGTTGTGACTATTTCGCTTTTGGGGCATATTCTTCCACACACACACACACAATGCAAACTTGAGATTTGCGCTTGGCGTTATTAGTGTAGTGCTGTGTTTTTGTCTATTGTTATGTTAATTAAGGCCAGCGCGGTTATAGATTTAACTAGTTCAATAAACATAAGCATATGTATATGTGCACATACACATACATACACATGTATGCATTTGTGGGCCACCAAGAACAAGAAAAAGAACCACAACAACAACAGTTGTGTCAACGAAGCTTGACATGAAATCCAAATGAATTGCGTGCTTGTTGGGATGTACAACAGTGTTTGTAAGTGTGTTCGTGTGTGGGACGCAGAGAACAACAAAAAGCTGCACGCAGTCTACCTTTTTACTACCTGTGTTGAAATTGCAAATAATGCACATCATTGCTGTTTCTTCCACATCATGCTTGGGCTAAATTATGTAGAATGTGCAATTATTTTGAATTTTGCTCACAAGCTAACAGATAAGTTGCAGTTGTTGTTGTTGTTCTTGTCAACTGCCGTTTCTTTGGCCACTTCCTTTTTAATACATTGCATGTGTGTGTGTGTGCACTGTGTGAGTGTGTTGTCTTTGTGGAAGGAATGTGGATTCTAACTTGGCCATTTAAGTACACAACAGCAACCAGCAATGCATCTGTGTGAATACAACAACAAATGCAACAACAAACTCCAATTGTTGCTGCTACTCACTGCAAGTGGTAAGTGAAGTGCTGCTGCAGGTTTTCTTGCCACATGAGTCTGCGGAAAGATATGCAAATGTTTGCTGTTGTTGTCTGGTGCGCTACTTAAATCAATTATGAGCGCGAATTCCTCATTATTTAAATTAACTTTAAATACTCCATTCGCGCACTAACGGCTTTTTTCTGTCACAAAAGTCTCTTTTGTTGTTGTTGTTCTATATTATGTTTTATATCCATTTTCTCACACACATAAAAAGCTGAAAGCGGCGCATTGTGTTTATTTGTGAGAAATTTACAAACATAACGTATATGTATGTATGTTTGTATGTGTTTGTAAGTTCAAAAAGTAGTGTTAAACAACATATGGCGAATGCGAAAACGCGAAGCTGTTAAAAATGAACCCATAAGCCAGCAACAGCAGTGGCTTAAAGCACCGCTTAGAGTTGGAAATACCGACAACGCGTGCGAATCGCTTTAATTAATGTTAGCGTTAGTTAGTCGCTGCTCCTGTTGTCTGGCTTTGGGCTCTCAACCGTAGTGAAAGTCTCTTCACACACGCACACCCAATATCAACCGAAAACGTTGCCCACGGAATCACGAAGACTCAGCGAGCGCAACACACACCTGTTGCTCAGCGCGCTTCAGCACGAACTAAATGCTTAAAACTTGGCTTACAACATCTTGGCAATGCGGGCAGATCAGGTAGAAGAAGAATGCGAACCGCCATATGTGCCTGGGGTGGAGCTAAGCGCTGTTGTTTTTTATTTTCTTTTGACTGCACCCATTGTTTAGAAATGATTTTTGTATGATTTGAGTTATTTATTTATTTGTGAAAAGAAACCATTTAATTGGAATTCAATTTAAATTAACGTTCCTCACAATCGATAGCTAATATATGCATTTTTCTTTTACAACACTGCCTCTGCGCGTGCATGTGATTGATATTTTGAAGTCAGCTGTTCAGCAGCAAACGATATGTTGTGGCGGCTAACCGATAGACTCTTACTGTTTACTTATTGTGGAATCTGTTTACTTCAAGTTTTATTTGGCGGGCGACTGATTTATTGCTATATAAAATGCATCTGGTTTGACAATCATTTGTATAATTTGAGCTAAAGTTCAAAAACATAATCGTATCGGTTCGAAAAAATATTAACGCATGCGCTCAATGCGCAGGACGAAGGACGTCGTGTCGCGTGTGTGTGCGTGAGCTCGTTGCGGCATCGGGTTAGAGAATTATGCCGTTGACTTAAACTGGCAAGGAGCATTGGATACCGTTTTAGTTCTCAACGTAATTTCACAGCGTTTTGGCGTCTCGGCCTCCATTCGGTTAGTTGGCTTAATATTATTTTGTTGCAAATTTCACGCACACAAATTAAGCGTGCAGTGAACGTGTGTGCGTGCGTGTGTGTGTGTTCTTATGTGTGTGTGAAAGAAATAGCAGAAGTAAACTTAAAAGAGAAAAAAAGAACAGTGTGAAACCATAGGAAAGTAAACTGTAAATGTTTATGCTAAAGTAAATTCCAGCATGGCAAGTAGCAACGTTTTTAGGGGTGACTCTGCCCTGTTTTACCCCCTGCCCCGACCCCTCTCCCCTATACATGTGTTGGTGGTGGTGGTTCTAGTCCTCTTGTCCACACACATTTCTAATAGTCGCATGCAAAAAAAAAAAAAAAAAAACAGAAACTGCCCCGCTTTTTGGCCTTGCCTTTTGCGAATGCGAAGCGGCAAAGAAGTCAAATAAAGTCTGCGAACGGAAAAATCAATATTGATAGTAAACTTCACGGCTGATGGGCCGTACTAAATACTAACAATATTTGTCAATACAAAAAGATATCCATTGCGATTAAGTAGCGCCGTCAGGTGGTCTTTGTACTGTGTCCTGTGTCCCAGCGAATACCGTTAGTTGTTGGGAGTGACTCACGAATGGAGTCCATTTTAAAGTGGAACGCGTTGTTCACATTATAATTACTTGCATATTGATTTCAGTTTAATGCCTTTTTGTTTTCTATTTTGGATTCATGCAGCAATCAAAATCGAATTAACTAAAAATGATGATGTGTAATTTGCTTTGTTGAAGTTGCAATTTGTAAAGTTTAACATTAAGTATATCGAAAATAATATACAAAAGTCTTCAAAAAGAAAACAGAAAGAAAACAATCAGTAACAAGATGAAAACTCGACTTGTGTCGCTGACATATCGCGGCAGTGCATCCGTCGATCCCCGCTACTCGGCGTCCATGCTGCCATGGACCATCAACGATATTCGATCAACCGAGAGCTATACAAAGGTGAGTAAGAATTGAACTACAATATCAATTTATTTAAATATAAATATTTTTAGAAATCTTTGTTCTTTAGCAACTAATATAAAACAAATAGTATATTTAAAGAAAGAAATTTGATAAAAATGCTTGAGCTCGCGCTCTAAAACAACATGAAAACATATTTTTGTTTCACAAAGACAAATAAATATTAATATTAAAAATATCCAGCTTTAAAATCTAACTAAAGAACAACTTAGTTAAAATATATAAAATATATGACCCTTTTTGGTCTTCACAATTCTCCATATGCCACTAATTATTCCAATCTATTATTCATAATCGCTATTCAGCCACAATCTGAGGTCTTTCAATCATATGGTCTTAATTAAATCACCAGTGATAAAATGCTTCACGCTTCACTTGCTCAATAAACAGCAGCGATATGTTGCTTTGAATTATGTTCTTAGCCCATCAACTTGCCTTGCTAGTTATTTGGGGCTCAATAAATCAATTAATCAGCCCGATAGCCAAACCAAAACACAAAGCACAAAACGGATGCAATTTATTAATCATTTTACGCTCAATAATCGACAATTACACTGATTGGCAACCGTTGGCACATCAGTTGCCCAAGCGAACTATACAAAATTAGACCCACTTTGCTGAAAGCTGAGCAGGTGAGCGGTGAGCAATAAACGAAAATCACAGTCCCACTGTGAGACTCACAGCTAATTAGAAGGATGACAGCGTCATCCCGAAACGGACGCACAGTTGAACAAGTTTACATGTGACAATTATGTGGCATGTGCGAGGTTCACTTGGTCTGTAATGAGTCTATTTGCGATTTGATATAAGTTTAATATTATAACTTTGTCTAAGAGACAGTCAAATTGTTTATCAATGGGAGAAATGCTATTAGACTCTTTATTAGCAATTGGTATGGATAGCTTAAAGTATGAGCAGCGTATAGGAATGAATTTGCATATTAATATATATATATATATATATATATATATATAAATATATAGTCATATATGGGGTCCCGTCCGCTATTTGCTGGACATCTCTCAGAATTACAGTGTATCTTCGTGTACAGCCCAGCAGCCCCATCATCGTGGATGCATAATTTTATTAATATTATATCAATCCTAATTCTGGGTTTCGATTGTGGTTTGTTGTGCTTCAAACATTCCTCCTCATAGTCACAAAATCAGCTGATGTCTCTGCTAACTATACTAATCTTTATTCCTCCTCATTCTCATAAAATCAGTAGATTTCGCTCCTGACCATAACAACCTTTAATGATTCCTCCTCATTGTCACAAAATCAGCAGATACTTCTACAGACTCTACGTAATTTACTCAGAATACAAAGTCGACAGCCAAGGGACATATGAAAATTCCAAGAAATCACATGATTAAATCGCTTGTCGGAGACTTGGTGCCTCTGCCCAGATCGATATCGAATATATATATATTTTATATTTTCAGTTACACCAGTTGATAATCAAGGAGTGCATACAATTTTGTGTATTTCACATTTGGATTGTACTAAAGCTCTTTAACTTTGTGATCTCCGCTCGCATTCATTGGTTTACCTATGTGTATACATACACAGGGGCATCAACTAACTGGCGCGTTACGCATACGACACGTTGAGCACGTGCGGCGACAAGTTGTCCATTGTCGCTCGTTTCCATTTCCAGCTCTGTGTCTGTCTCTTTCCCACTCGACACAAACTTCAATGTCAGCCGCAGTCTGGTGCCCCATGGTTATTATTATAGGAAGCTTGAAATTAATTTTGGCAAAGCTTCCAATTAGTCGCCCATCAGCTCCATATACATATACATGTGTGTGCGGGTGCCAGTGTGTGTGTGTGTGTCAGTGTGTGGGAGTAACGGTGTGTACACATTTTTGATTAGATGCTGAATGGGTGTGTGTGTGTGTGTTCATTTAAACATGTTCATTTAAACATTACTCGGCATTTTAATTGATTTTTCACTAATTTCATTTTGGTGTTGTTTCCCATTTAAATTTTTGTTTATGAATTTATTTATTTAAAGTTTTATGATTGCAAGCTGACAACAATTAACTGTGCAGTTAAACATGCATTAAATAGGCCAAAGTTATTTTTATTTAAGGGCGCAACTTAAGTGTTCCCTTTTTACCTGCTCGTCCATTTTGCGGTTTCAGATTGCTTCTCGGAGTATTAAAATGAATCCATTTTGCGTGCTTGCCGAGCTGCTCAGCAAATTGTGGATGTCTTTGACCTCTCTCCAGAAGCTGAATGATACCAAGCAAGTGGGTGGGTCGTGGGTTGCTCAAATTACATTTCTATAAAAAGGAAACTTGCCGAATTGCTTTTGGAGAAAGTTCATACATTTGATGTTTGATCCTGGGATTGCATGTATTGTGGTCTCTTAGCTTATGAGAATTTGTTTTTGTGATTTGTCCCCCAAAGAGAGAAAATAATAATAATATATTTGGGAATAGATGGATAGTGTATTTTACACATACTTACGAGTTTTTAAACTTTTGTGAATCTGCAATATAAATGCGATATGAAATATAAGTAATATAAAATGGCCATTTTATGAAATTGCTTTAACTAATGTTATTTGTTATTTACACAAAAATGTAAGCGTAAGTTAAATAAACCTTGTGTTGTATGCATGAAAAAGCATGAAAAGTGCTGCTTTAATTTATACAATATTTTTCGTATTTTCAAAATTCAATTATGCATGCAAAACACACATAAGCTACACTCTCTTTGCATATCTCTCTCTCCCTGTCTCTTTCTCTCTCTCTCTCTCTCTTTTCCTCTGTCTCTCTCTCTCTCTCTCTCTCTCTCTCTCTGTAGCACTGCCTTTCCCTTTCTCACTTTTTCTGCAGTATTTTCTTTTTATTGTTTTGCCAGACTCCGCAGAACGGGTCTATACAAAATTTTGATGCGTAATTGCCTGCATAAATATTTACTTAATCCTGCACTTTTGTTTATTATTTTGATGTATGCTGCTTGTGCAAATTGACACAAAACCAGCACGCACACAGAGCGAGAGAGAGAGACGGAGAGAGAGAGAGAGAGAGAGAGGTATAAGTAGAGTGAGGGAGACAGTAAAACTATAAACTGAAATGTTTGCCCAAGCTCTTCTGCTCTTCGTGTTCATTTGCAGTCTGTGTGACAAGCGCTGTGGCAGCTTATTGCTTTATTATGTTAAATAGCGCATGGAAATTATGGCAAGCAGTCTTTTGGCTGCCGCTTAAGTGCGAAACCTGCCACGCCCTGCCACGCACGCCCCTTCATCAAAGTTTTATGTCAACTTTTGCGACGCTTCAATGGCCAAGCAAACAAACTTGCCCCATGAAGAATACACTGCGTGTGTGTATCTATAAATATTTGCCCTGCATATTGGTTAGCAATTAGTGATTGAAATTGATAGCGTTGCTAAATAATGTAACTAAAAAGACATTTACAGTTTTATAAAAAAATAACTTAAAACAAAATCTCTAAATATATTTTAGGCATTTTCAATTTGAACTATTTGGTAAATTATAATAATACTTACTGCAATGTTTGGAAAAGTACAACCTTTTAAGAAGCGTAAAAAACAATTAAATATAGCTTGAGAATCGAATCTCTGAACCTATGAAGTACGGCAAGTTAACCAGAGCTAAGCACGCTCAGAGATTGGCTGGATATCTAATAGTATTGATCTTCTAATCTAAGGAAGAGAGAGCTGCAACGAGAATTTGTGAAATAATGGATTATAAGATTTACAAATGACACGAACAGGGGACAAAGTTCCCAGTCCACTATGAGTAGAACAATTATGACGCTATGATATATTGTATTATACAATAATCCCATCAGTGTGCTTCGCTAGTTGTTTTGGGCTCAATAAATCAAACTGTCCGATGGGGAAACAAAAAGCACACAGCACAAAGCGAATGCAATTTATTTATAATAATTTAAGGTTCCATAATCGACAATTACACTGATTGCCAAGCGTTGCCTAAGCGAATTACCAATCGATCTACCCTGAACTTTGACTGCTTTGGCAGAGGCTAAATTAATAAGCTTAAAATATATGATTTCAAAATAAAAATGTTTTTTTTTTCCTGTAAGTTTGCAATAAAATGAATAGTGCTGGAAATGATAGAAAATAAGTTTGAAAATGATAGTAAAAATCAATTTGATTGAGTTCAATAACAAGTTATATCATCGTAACTAAAGCAAAAGCAATACCCAATACTCCCAAGTAAATTTTGAAAAGCGTTTTCACTAACGACTTTTCGTTTGCGCCCCTCTGCGTGACAGGTAGTTGATGCCTGCCTCCCTGCGTCCCTGATGGCCACCAGCCCAGCAACAGCTTGGTTGCGTGCCTTTCATTGACGTCACAACAGCAGCAGTCAGGAAGTTGATTTTTAGCGAGCAGAAGGAGAAAAATCAATAGGCCACACTGCTTTCACTGTGCTGTGCCCGCAAAAAAAAATACGCTCATTTTTTTTATTGTGAATTTTTCTCTTCTCGGAGAAGTCCCTCAGCTAATCCGCTTCTGGTCGAGCACAGTCAAACACTTAAGCCGCGCATCCACCTCCGCTCTCGCCCGCTCTGCTAGTAAATGGCTTCACACTTCACAACCGTTGGCTGAGGAGGACTCGCGCTGGGTTTACGCGGCGTATGCGTTACTTTTGTCGCGTCGCTTCGTGTGCCTTAAATGAGCGTGAATGATGTCACCCACTCAATTCCATTTGGCTGGCGTTTTGCATTTGATATTGCTGCACAGTGCGGTCCTCTACAACTGCCATTTATATGGTAGTAGCAGTAGCACAACCGTACTCTAGTCTCGCGTATCACTTGACATGCTTGGAGTCTGTGTTTTGGTCTGTGTGCCACTTGGAATAGGATTTCATCAACCATACGTCTAGTTGTCCAACTGAGTGGCAGGGTTGGAGTGTTTGGGTAGTTTTAATAGCTTTCGGCATTTATGTAGCTCAAATTGCTTTGTGTTTATCGACCATACTTCAGATATTTATATTTTTTTAATTTATTATATATTTATTCTTAATGCGTTTTTTTCTCTATCACTTCTTCACTTATTATACTTTGATACCGAAGATATCATAATATGTTGTGCACTGTCCGTCTGTCTGTTTGTATGAACGCAACTTAGAGTTAGAGACTTGAAACTTGGAGCATGTACTGATCTGTGCCCGGTACAAAGTGTAAAAATTTGAATGTCCACTAGGAGGCTTTGAAATCGATCAAAATCGATAAATGCAAATCGCCGCCCCCAGGCCACCCGCTCCTAAACATTTTAAATGACTATATTTTCCGTAGTTTTTGTGTTAGATCTGGTAACAATATTACTGGTAGCCGCCTCTAAGAACCGATAACAAATTGTTACCTCCCACAAAACTCCCTAAAACACATATCTTCCGTAATTTAAGAGCTACAGTTACCAAAAAAGTTACTAGGAAACTCTTCTGACAATTTTTGCTCGGTCTCACCCACTCCCGCCCCCAAAATTCACAAAAGCCAAAGTATTTCGCAGTCGGTTAGGCCTGACTTCAATGTTCTCCCTTGTTTTATTATTGACTTGTGTGGTTTGCATATGCTTTTGATGGCAAGTTAAGACAAGATTTATTATGGACTTAGCCTCGGACTATGTTGATTTTATTAGCTTTTCATTCTCCGTTAGAAATTACTATAGTTGTCACACAAACATACACACAGGCATTGGAATCCAGTTGGCGCCACATGAACTCAGCCCCAATTGTTAATGTTGGTAAAGTCAGAGTAAGAGATGCTCGCGTGCATGAGATATAAATAAATCAAAGTAAATTAATTACAACATACAATATTCAATTTAGTTTTATCCGCAATGTGTCAACAAAATTATCATTAACTGACCTAAAGAATTGACCCATAAATTTATGCTAATTTAAATAAAAATTTTAATTCTTTTATTAGCATACATGAGGTGGAATAAATATGCTTGAATCAACTATTTTTATTTAATCAGATTTGGCAACTTAAATATATTTAAATCGTATTCATATTCAAATTTGAATTTGTTTTATGTTTTTTTTCTTTTGATTTCGTATTATGGATGTTTAAATGTCATTTGTATTACTGTCATTTGTGCGTGATGAAATGCAACGCTCATGATTCTGTCACGCGCTCATCTCTGTTTGTAATCACGACGCGACACGGGTCGTCAACAATCGCGTGTTGTTGCTCACTGATTTATACATTTTAACCGTTTCTTCATTACGTTTTCATGTGTCAGCTGACGTTTGCCGTTGCTGTTGTTGTTGCTGTTCTTGTTATGCACGAATTGTGTTGTTGGTTTTTGTTGCTGTTGTTGTTGGTGTTTGACGTTTTCACAATAAATTGACTACAATCGCTCATTACATTGCTGTTACTTTTGTTGCTGTTATATGTTTGCTGTTGCTGTTGTTGTTGTTGTCGTCATCAGCAGTTTAGACATATAATTTACATGAAGTACTTCTGCCGCTGTTAAAGGCTTAATCACGAGTTGTGATTGTAGTGAAATGGGACCAAAAAGGTCAGCTTCTAGTTCTTTGCTGTTGCGGTTGCCATAAATAATACAGGATGGCTAACCTAGAGCCCCAACCTGCGATTACTGCAATTATCGGTTAACTGAACTCACAGTGGTGCGGCATATTTGTTGTTTCCCATAATTAATTCACCTTTAAATTATCTATTGAGCGGCATTTGTTTATAAATGTAGAAATATTACATGGGGTATAAGAAATTTGTGGAAAAGAGGTATGTAAGTGGCAGATAGAAGCGTCTCCGACTCCACAAAGGATATCTAGTCTTGTTCAGCATCAAAAGTCGAGTCGAATAAGCCATGTCCGTTTGGCGATCTCAGAGACTATAAGAGCTATGATTTCTAATTTGGTACAGAACTCTTGCATTACATAGAGTGTTTAGTATTTACTTAATTTTATCGATACCTGTGATGATCACAACTGTGATGCCATTCAATTAATATATAATATACCCATATTAATGATCAACAATAAAAAATTTCAAAACTGACTTCAGAGTATCTCCTAGTTGAGTTCTCACTACACCAGACTGGAGGAGATCTAACTTGTTATTTATCGGTAGTATTTGTATATAAATATTCTCAACGGGAGATGCGTCTCATTTTAAACGTTTTCAAATTGAAAACCTGCTTTTTATTCATGCCAATCACGTTCCCTGCGTTTCAATGAAACGCTTTCAATTTTCCGTGCCACCGTAATGAAAATCTCAATTCGCTTTGTTCGCTGATTGCATTACAAACAACAACAACAACAACAAGAACCGAGTTGAACAATTTTAGATACAGAAGGTAGAAAGAAGCATAATTGAATTTGCCCTGTCAATGTCAAAGGCAAAACCAATCACAAATCACTTTCCAACGAGAGGGTCGCTCTACGCGATGCTCAGCGTCAAGTGGCACTCGTAAATTAATTAAAAATCAACCTGGCATGGCCATCATTAGTTATCAAAACGATTGCTTGGTGCTCTGCCAATAAAAAAAAAAAAGAAAATGTATTTTCAAATGGCAAAGGTGAGTTGAGCTGCAGCCCGCGCATATCCCTAATGATTAGAGTGCTGCCAGGCAGCCTCATTAGGCGCCTGTTTTTATCATTTTCTCTTGCGCGCTCACCTAATTATTAATAATTGCAAAGTTTTTCTTTTTCGTGTAAATAGTACGACATCCTTTAAAGTGAATTCCTTTTAATTGGTCCCAAATGGCACAATTTCTTCTTTGGTATTTATTGCATTGTTTACGCTTGTTTGCTTCCATTAGTGAAATGAGAGTTTGAATTATGCACGGATATGTGGCAATATTATGAGCAACGTTTACTTTCCATACTTATGGTTGGCCAAATTAAGTGCTAGATAAATTGAACATAATATTCTTATAAGTGGTCGTAATTAGGACGAGTTACAACGAGTATTTAAATAGGGCAGATTGAATAAACGAAGTCTGATAGATTAGTTAGGTAAAGCAAGTTAAGGCATTAAGTATAATTAACCGACTATGAGATCATATTATTTAAGAGTTTTGCATTGATGTCGTTTGTGGAACTTTTGTCACATCTACACAAACTCATCTCGCTGGCATCGAATGCGAAACTGGCTTCTGCTTAACTAACTGAACGTCAATTTCATTTGCATCCGTTTTGTTCTGATGGCTAAATACTAAGCGACGCCTCAAATGAGTCGACCTGTTTTCTGCCCAGCCATTACACTGGCGCACCCATTCAAGCAGCCCCCAACGAGCCACATTAACACTCCCTAGCTACCCCGTTGCCGCGTAGTACATATGTACATACATTTATACATCCATTTATATGCATGCTAGCGGAATAAAAACGGTAGAAGTGAAAGGAGGCCAAGTACAGAAAACGGCTTGCAAATGTTGATGGTGACGTCGACGGTGACGGTGATGAGGATAACACCGGAAATGGAGCAGCCGCCATGTTTGTTATGTTGTCGAGCTATTCCCAGTCCACACCTGCCTCTGCCTGTCTACCTATCTATCCATCTATCTGCCTCTCTGCCTGTCTATCTATCCGTCTGTCTGCCTGTCCCATGGTCTGTCCTTGCTGCTCTCCGAGTGAACCGCTTTTGTATTTGCGCAAGCAAGTAAACTGATTATAAGAATTTAATACTGTTAATCTGCTTCGTCTAGTGGAAGCGCTGAATGTGGTCCTTAGAATGGGGATTATGAATAGTCACTGTTGTCTATCTGATTTTGTTAGCCCAGTGAATACGAGCAGTAGAATTTATGCCGAGTTAGCAGAATTAAATTACTCGACATTCAATATTAAAATGAATTGTGGTTTCAGTGATTTAGACAATAAGAGCTATCTATATGCATATCTGAGCTGTCTTTTATCTAGGATATTATTTGTGGTTTCATTTATCTAGTACATCAGTCGATTTGGGCACATTTGAGCTGTCTTTAGGGTATCTTCTACTAATGGAGTAAATACTATGCTACAAAGCTACAAAGAACACATCGATAAATGTCACCTTCAATATTGTTGCTGCTTACTCAACCTTAACACTAATCTTTGTTCAACACGTTCTGCTTGCAGCTTTCAGTTGGCGTTGAGCATGGCATATTAGAGTCCTACAATTCGGACTTTGAGCTGCAATTTAGTCATCCGCTCAAGCACATCGTGGGCATGTGCCGCATCATCCACAAACCGCAGGCGAAGAGCATCGGCAACGGTTTCATGCAGCTCAAATCAAATGCTGTGCAGGCCAATTGTTCAACCGCCGCCGCCGCCGCATCTGTCTGCAACTCATCCTCAACAACTGCCACTGGTGCTGCTAGTGCTGCTGCTAGCAACTCATTGTCCGTAAATGGGTCGCGTCATGGTCTGACCACATCTACATCCTATGGTTCGCTCTCGTCCAGCGCTGCAGCCGCTTATCAGCTGCAACAGCAGCAGCAGCAACAGCAGCTGCAGGCCGCAGCCGATGCAGAGCAACCACAAAACTTTATGGAATTTCAAGGCCCCATCACTGGACTCGTGTATCTACTAAAAGATCCCAAGGATCCGCTGCTGCACATTTATCTATTCGAATGCGACACCGTCGAAGAGGTAAGTTCCACTTGTAACTCAACCTATTCTATACTTAACTCTTGTCCGAGTTTGTGGCTGTCTTTTGTGTAAATTTGATGTGTACCCTTTGAAATGCACTGGCATGAAAATGTTTAGAAAAGTTACCACAATCGGCTTTGTCTTAGCATCCGTTTGAGCGAATTGCAAAACGCTTAAATGCTGCATCCGATTTTATGAACGAAATTTGTAAAAGTTTGGCCTTGCTAAAAAGATGAAGAGCATTCAGCTGAATTTCAAGATAAATAAGGGAGAAAAGTAATTAAATTGATGTAGAGCTTTTGCGTTTTTACACTTTTGAAATATATCAAATAGAATCATCCTTGATACAGAATATTAAATAGAATCTTCTTAGCCTAAAAATGTTCATACAAGTCGATTATTTGCCACAAGAGACCCGGCTAAGATATCGCCTGTTAAAGCTGTAAATTTAATGAGCGCAGATGCAAAAAGGCCACTTAAAAATGTTCTGAGGTAAACCAAAATAATTACTTCTGTGCATCCCCCAGCTGGGTAACATCTGCTAACGGCGGCAATTAGGCGGCGAAGGTACGGCTAAAAAACAAACAGAAAAAAGAAAAGGGAAACCATTAGAAAAACGAGTGCAAAGCTGAAAAGCGGCAAACTGCCTACTGGCAACTGGCAGATGGCAGATGGCAGCTGGGAGCTGTGGTCTCTCTGCGGTCGCGAACATTTGATAAGCTCATTTATGGGCTGCTGCTGCGACACAGTTGTTGACTGTGCTAAACACCAGTCCCACCTATGGGACGGTCGGTGGCGTATGCGTAATGTGCAATATGATTTTGATTTGAAAACGGGTCGAAAACTGGAGAGATCTTAGCAACCATTCACGTTTATTGCTTGTCCTTGTGGTGACTGCTATCCTTTGACTGTTGTCGCATTCTCTCGTCTCTGCCGCCATTTGTATGTTGGCAAATACATTTTTATTGTCCTGCCAAGTGGCCCGGACCCAGATCCGGACCCGGCATCAAACGGCATCACATTCTTGAAACATCGGCAAATGCCGTTTCCGTTAACATAGTCGGGATATGGCTGTTGTCATTCTCAACGCTCGCTTGACTCTTAATGACATTGAAAAGGACACCGCCTGACATGTCCTGTTGCTAAACATAATCGAGTTGTCTTATGAACAAAAAGAATTGCACATGTCTTAAAATATAGTGTGAATTCAATTAAAACCGTTGATTACAATTCCATAGTGCTTTAATAAAAGCTTTTAGTTGAATATTATTGCGTAATATGTGAGTACTTAAGGTTAATCAAATTCGTTGTCAATAATCGAATTAAAATACCACCAGGCAGAAACTTTAACCTTTCCTGCGTTTAGCTAGTACGATTTGAAATTTGCATTTGTTCGAGTTTTGCTACACGACATTGTTGGCCTTGGCCTGTTGGTCGCCTGCTGCTTGCAACACACACACACACAAACAATTTATTAAATTGATTTTGAGCATTACGCTTGCAGCTGGCAACATATTTGTAACATATGCCTCTTCTTCTACCGTCAATTTCTGCAACAAAGAATCCTGCAAACCAATTCAATTTGCCGCAACAGGCAGAAGCACTTAAAATTTAGTTCGTCAATTTGACCCAGTTGACTTTTGTTATTGAGCAGCTTAATGCACTTTCCTTTGACACGACATCGAAACTGCATTTAATTTAGTTTTTGTCAATTTTTGGTTGTCAAGTGAATACGGTTACAGCATTTAACTTGCCTCTTACCTATTTATTTGGAACTAAATCAAGTTATAATGCACCAATTGTTGATAGTAGTTTGTTTAATATGAAAATAATAAATATATGAAAATTTGGTTACCAAAGTCTGTGTTTCTTATTCGATTTTAATGAAATTTCCAAAGTTAATCAATAATATGTTTGTGTATTTTACATATTTATTGAAAGCCGATTTGTTTACAATTACAATTATGTTTTTATTGATAAAGGAAACTCTTTGATCTTCGATATTCGCAGTTATCGATAAAATTAAATAGACTTGACTAATGACAATTTATAGACTAGGTTAAATCGACTCGGCTTTTGATGCTGATCAAGAATATATAGGTGGTTAGAGATGCTTCCTTAATAGTTTTGCTCAACCTATTTATACCCTGATTCACATTTTAAATGCGTTCAAGGTTAAAAAAAAAACACTTCAATAAGTACTATGATAAAAAATAATATATTTAATGTGGTACACAGATACTTAAGCTAATTAGCAGTCGGCTACACAACTAGACAAAATTACTTTAGCATAACATTCAACCCAACCCGCTACTTAATTCGTACATCGAACATTTTTATAATGTTATTATTGATATCAAGCGGATGACTAAACATTTATAATACGGCAGTAAGATGATACTATAAGAAAAATGTTCAATGTACGAATTATTAGTGGTTTTCGCTGTTGTACTCATAAATTTCTATATATGCATTAATAATCAAATATTTACAATGCTTGCTTTCCCACATTTTATAGTAGTGCTGCCTAATTTATGTTAAATACTCACAAATCACACATACGCAGCGTATACTGTTCCCACTCTTTCTCTCGCTCTCTCGCTCTTTTTCCCACACTCTCACTGTTTGTTTCTCTTAACAGTTTCACTGTTAAATTTCGCATGTGCAGGTTTCTTTAATGTTCGTGTTGTTTCGATTTAGTTGTTGTTACTGTTGTTGGTGTTGTTGCTGGTGCTGTTGTTGTTGTCAGTGAGCAATTCTCGTCGAGCTCAGTGGGTCGGGCGATCAGTGAATGGGATCCGTTGTCGCTTGCCTGTTAGTTGTCTGGCGGCAATTGAATCGCGTGCGCGCTTAGCTGAAGGCAGCGTCAGCTACCAGCAGAAGCAAAACAACTAAAACCGAACAGAACAAAAACAGCCCGCTAAACAAAATGTAATACAAATTAAATAAGCAAAAAATTCAGTTCGAAAAAAAAAAGAAATGACAAAAATATACGCGTGCGCCATAATTTCTGGAAATTAACAAGAAATGAACTTGTTTATTGTGCAACAATAACAACAAATGCCCCAAGCAAATGTATAAATAAATAAGTTACTAAAAAAGTGCCAGCCAGCCGAATGCCAAACAAAAGCCCCAATATTTAAATATATATATTTACATATATCATCTTGGTAGAATCTTATGTAGATATATATACACACACATATATACGTATTTCTTAGTTGCGTCAGTTGGTTATTCTTTTATGTGTATCTACATCTACAAGCGATTTCAATATTCATTTAATTGAAATGCCTTCAAAGTCAAGAACGATCAAATCAATTGAAAGATGAGTGAAAAGAAAAACAACAATAAAAAATAAGAATAGAATCATTTTATTGTTTGAAGATTAAACCGGTAAACGAATATTGAAAGCCTCCGATTTGTCCTCATGAATTATTCATATTTATTTAAATTATTGTCGATATTATATTATAGTCAGTTAAACAACTCTTATATAAAATACTTAAAGCACTCGATCTTATTTGCATTGCCCCAATTACTTAAAATGTTGCCTGTCAATGGGTAGTGCAAATATTTTCGATTCACAAATGAAGCCAACGAATAACAACAAATGCAATTAACGCAAAACTTAGCAAAATAGCCAAAGACGCAGCATCTCTATATATATATATATATATACATATAATATATATGAACACAAACAGATATAACAGACGCAACAGATACATCTACAGTTGAAGTCAACAACAATACTTTTGTATCGTTTGGATACAATGAGTATTTGTGCTGTGATCGTCATAAATTTTAATGCCACACCAGAGACTAACTAAATACATACGTATTGATAATTGTACCTAGTTTATCGCACACACAACTTAGAGCGATACGAAGTATTTTGAACTTTAAAAAATCAAGTGAGATTTTTACAGACGGACCTTACCGACTGACGAATACTCTGTGAACACTGTAATATCAGCTGAATACAGTTGACCCCAAGTTTGTTAAAGTTAGCTTTCAGATTGTGGAATATACGTGGTCATTTTTCGTTTTACTATTATCAATATTAGCGGCCCACTTTTAATGTAGCTAGTAATATACTCCTTTACCTTCGTTAGCAGAGTATAGCAACCATATTGAAATTAGTCACAAATTTTGCAGCAGCTCCACTGTTCATTTATTGAAATGCGTAAATAATCTCTAGACATGTATGAGAGACAAAGTCTGTTGTAACCGGCTGAGAAGCTCGATTCGATTTTAAACAAATTTCTTACGCTTTACATAAGAAATTAGAACGAATTCCTAGAGAAATGTAGTAAAATATGTAGTGACTATTTTTTAAATGTTACTCATTGATTGTGTTAGGCATATTTGGAAGTTTCAGATAGTAAAATATTAAATATATTAAAATAAACACACAAAAAAATACCCTAAAGTTAACCCCAATGTAATAAAAAATCAAATATGTATTTACTAAATTCTATTTGCAATACTATAATTTAGTGCAATTTAATTGAATTTCTCTGTGAAAACCTTCAACAAACTCAAATAAAAAACTTCAAAATGGCAAACAAAACAATTGTGTGATAGTGAGTAACAATCGTAAAAGTGCACAGAAAAAAAGTAAAGGTAAAATATTTTGTGTTATAAATAAGAACTGCATTATCGCCTTCCGGCATTTGCAGCAAACAGTGAGTTTCGTAATTGCAAACAGCAACGAGTGAACAAACCAACAAAAAAAAAAAACAAAAAACAAAACAACCAAATACAACACTTAATTGAGGGAATCGAAACAGCAGACGAGGAAAAGACAAAGACAAAATGTTTACGGTGCCATTTCATCGGGACACAATCCTGACTGCCTCCGTCAGCGATGCATCCGTGCTGAATAAAAGCCGTGCCGTATGTTGAAATTACGGCGGAGTCTAGTTGCTAACCTCTCAGCTCCGCCGCCTTCGTGTCTGCCCGAATTGATATCAATTTAAATTGCTCTGCTTTGATTTGATTTGATTTTATTGCTATATATATATATATATAATTCATTTGTTGCTTGTGCAATTGCCTTTGTTTATGTTTGTTTACTTTGCATGGCAAAATGTGTTTTCGTTGTTGATTTCTCTCATCTTACGTAATGCACTGGCAACTACTAGTTGTGTTCTTTGAGCAAAGTTAAAACGCTACATTTGAACAATTTTCTGAGCTACAGTTTAACTTAATTTGATTGCATTTTCAATTTATTTCAATTTCGTTACTAATTCTTTTGCGTTATTTTTATTCATGTCTGTGTTATTTAAGCAACTGTCGAATCCTCATGCAAATAGGAAGCGCATAAGTTCATTACCATATAAACAACTTTTATTCAATTTATTCTTTCATCCTCCTACACACAAAAAAAAAAAAAAAACACAATTTTCACGCGTGCCAACAACTGAAAGCCAGAAAAATGATGCGTCAGCCATGTTGACCCAACCTTCTCTGCTGTTGTTATTTTTTGCGCGATTTGTTGACTCGGCACACTTGACTCTGACCAGGCTGTGTTAAAGGGAGCGTAACTTCTGGTAAACAATTTTCCCTTAAAAGTTTTGAAAGCACTCAAACTACCTGTCCAAACGGTTTTCTAAATTTGTGGTCAAGTTGAAGGTCGTTCAATGCCATGCATCTGAAAAACAATTAACGTGGACGTTATTCTATACTGCATGCATTCGTTGTGTTCCTGTCAAATTTAACATTTATTTTTTCATCTTGTCAAAATACATTTTTAGTTACAATGGTGTTTATTCAGTCGATTAGCATTTCACATGAAATATAATAGTTGTTCTTCAAATTACTAAATAATCCAAAAGTTATACTGTAAATTCAAACAATTGCATTATTTACATATAGAATAGATTCGCCATGCGGTCATCAAACATTTACCACAGGTTCAATAAACCATTAACTACTTTTTAAAATGCAAATGGTGATTTCGTTTTACTTCCTTTTTTTCATATACAATTCACTATACAAAACAAAAACTCAGAAAATGCGAGAAAATAAAAGTGAAGCGTGTGGCAACAACCAATAGAGAAAAAATGTGCTTACAAAAACAAAACAGACACATTTAAATTTGTGGCCCAGACAACGACTGACATTGCAATTTTTGCAAAACTTTTGCGTTGCTCAATAGCACAACAAATGTGGTAATTGCAACGAATGCAAAGCTTTCCACAACTATTTGATATCTATCGCATTCATATATTTAGTGAAGTTAGGATAGGTAGAAGCACTTACAACAAAAATAAATAAATTTGTAAACAAATTCACTTACAGGGTAGCATCAGTGGCGATCAGTTTGCTCAATTTTCCAATTGCAAATCCTGTTCAAGTTCAGGTTGTTGTTGCGATGCGATACAGGTAGTAAATATGAAATCTATAAAAAAGTACTAGGCCATTCGGTAATGCAAAAGCAATAATAAATAAATTAAATAAAATACGCAAATTTATTTTCAAGCGCAAATGCAAATAATCTTATTTGACCTTAGGACTTTATTAATTTTTATTTTTCATAATTTCACGCAGCTTAAATCCAATTGCTTTTCCACTTAATATGATTATCTTTACACATTTACAAATGTGAACATGTTTTTACATTCATCGATTGATAGTTGGAAACTCTCGATTATGAAATACGTTGGATTTGACTAGCCAAAACTTTAACTTCAATTTCTCCAGCTAATGATATAGGCGTGGTGTGAGACAGCTGATAGTCAGCCGTCCAATATACTCTTTTGCTCTTCACAACAAGGTATAAACCACTAAAGTACAGCAACAGTAAAAAGTTAAGGAGCACGTAGTCTGAGCAAAAAAAAAAAAAGAAAAGAAATTCATAAGGCGTAACTGTCCTCAAAACGCGTTGCGAACGTGACGTTGAATTAAATTCCTGTGAAGTATTTTGCGAAGAAAAACTATACGTATATATTGTCTATAAACATGTTTGTATATGTCAATTAAGATTTGTGAGTGTTAAATATGGTAATTTTTCGCTGAACTCACGCAAATTGCTAAAAACAAATTGCCAGCACAATTTTCACATTGCTATTTCATGTATTTTTATAAATTGTTCGGTTTGTCATTTAGCAATCATACATGTATGTATATGATAGAATTTTCAAATTACACAACAACAAAAACAAATGTTATACAAGAAACAAGTTTTTATGGTGTGGAGAGAAGCCAATGAATACGATAAATTACACTTATCATTGATCAAAATGAGAATGTGATTTTTTTCCAGAACTTATATGAAAAAAAAATGTCTAAAAAATGCGTTGGTTAAGCAAAGTATTATTTCTTGGAATTAATACACAATAAAGCATTGAAATATACAAAAATGTTGTTGTAGAATATAAAGGAAAAAAATACTTAATTAATTTAAAAAAAGTAAATGAGTATTCATTTTTTTTATGTGTCTACTGTTTATGTTTGATATTTATTTTAGTAGAATATTCATTTAAAAATTCGATCTCAATAAGCGCACGCGTTGCGTGTGCCTCCAACAAACTAAATAAGGTACATAAGAAACATATGTTGATATATATATATATATATATAGATGATTCCATACACAAATATGCATATATAGTGCGACATTCGTCAACTTCTGGTCTGTAGTCTGCACAAATGACGTCACGATCACTCGACAAGCGACTGATCAGCGACATCTTCTGGTACATTTCGTACAGACAAGGCAGAGACAGCACCAAATTATAAACCTTTATCTCAATTTTGGTAGCCAAGAGTCAGAGTGAATTGAGTTTGCTATTTTTGCCCAAAAGCGCTGATAAATGACAATTAGTTGACACCGCAGTTAATGCATCTATAGGATAAACTGGCACATCTTTGAGGCAGCTGCATTATGCACTGACATTGGACTTTGCAACTTTTGATTTTTCTGCTTGGCTATTTTTTTTTTTTGCTTTTTTTTTTGGCAGCATTTCAATGCCGTCCAATTGGGCCACAGAGCGCATAACTGAGAGCATTTCTCTTACAAGATTTTCGAGGAACTATCGCAACACGCAGCGAACAGCTGTGTTCAGCAAGAGACTCATCAGATTCACCAGATATTCATATGCTGTTGCTATGATGCTTTACTCAGACATTACTCAAGAACCGCAGACACGATGTCTGCACATGAATGGGGAACGTGATAATGAATTATTCACGAATGCAGTGTAGAAGTAGCACCAAAATTGAGTTGGAAAGCAAAGTAGTGAAAAATAAATCGATAATAAGTTGTGCAGGATATGCATCTAGAATAAAAATAAGCAAAATAAATTTGGAGAAAAAATAATAATAATAAATATGTATTTGTATATATCGGATAGAATGAATAAATAAATAAATAAAAATTACAAAGTTCAAATCAAATTTGAATCATGTTCTTAAGCTAGATTTTTTGACGCAGATATCTCAATCTATACAAAACTGACTTCAGTCTAATTAAATTCATTTCTTAAGGCATTTCTGTAGAACTCCAACTCATTTCCTGTCTAACACATATTCTCAAAATTCTCTTTGTTTTTGCCTAAAGGTTGCACTTTTTATCTGTGAATCTAAATGGAATTTTCTTGGACCATGTGTTAGCTACTTATTTAACTTAACCTAAACTTTGCAGCAACACTGTTCTCAAATATAAGCTAGCACATAACATAACTTAATTTTGTAGCAATTCCTTCATCATCTTTATCATAATCAAGTCAAAACCTAACCAAATCCAATCTGCTTTGTCAGTGACATGAAATGAATGTCCGAAAATTGATTGCCAGCCACAAAGCCGGCGAAACAATCGCTTTAAGTGACAAAGTCATACAAAATGACATAAACTAAAGACAAAAGATGTAAAACTCGATGGGCTGGCAGACCGGAAACTGGCCAGGACCAAACCAAAGGGATTGTGTAGCGTGGTCCTCCGTAATAGAGCTGAGCTGTTAAAGCTTTAGTATTTTGTTATATTCAATGCATGCCTGCCTGCTGCCCGATTTAATCAGAGTCCTAATTTTAAACACACTGAACATGTCACTCACTCAAACACTGCTTCTCTCTCGCTCTGTTTCTCGTCTTTGCAGATGGCGGAGCTGATGCAACAGATGCGGGATCCGGCACATACGCTGGGCGGCTCTGTGGGCAGCATACCACAGACACTGATTGCAGGGGGCAATGGTGGCGGTCATGGCACACTGAATGGCATACATGCCACACCGGCAACAAATTTGAAGATGAGCGAAGCGCTTAGGAATGCCCAGCACGATGCTAGTCCCAATATTGTGAGCTCCAAGATGAAGGCATCCAAGTCGTATACGCACGGTTTGAGCAGCTCGTCGGGCACTGTGAACATTCCCACGTCAACATCGGCGCAGAGTAATCTGTCGCTGCTGACGGACATTTCACCAAATCACACCCACTTCTTTGAGGTTATGTATGTGGGCAAGATACGTGTCTCGCAGAAGCGGGTGCCCAACACCTTCATTGACGATGCCCTGCCCAAGTTCAAGGCCTACGATGAGCAACGTTTGCGGCTCTTCCAGAATCGTAAGATGTCCCTGAGCAGCGAGGGTGGTGTTGGCATTGTGGCCAAGAGTGCCGGCAGCACTCTCAAGAGCCAAGAAGTCAAAGAAGTGGATGAGGAGGATCAGGAGTCCCAGTCCATGCCGCAAGAGGAGCACCAATTGATGGGCGCCGAATCGGATGCCATACCACAACCACAAATCGAAGAGAACAAGGAGAACAAATCGCCAGCTAAACGCGTTCTGCTGCGCGGCCAAAGCCACGCGGAGCTGGGCGAAAAGATGTAAGTAATCGTAGATTAAAATTGGTTGTCATCTGCCCTTTTCTGTTGTGCCCAATCGTGTGTGCCAAAACTAATTCATTACCTATAAATACGGAAGCAGCTCGGAGGATAGTCAGCAACTGGAGGCGCCCAACGTTATTGTAAACAAACAACCAACGCCACCAAGAGAGGAGAGCGAGCCAGCTGCCACATCATCAAATGCAAATCCAAATGCAAATGCAACTGCAACTGCAACGGCTCCAGCAGTGGAGAAGTAAGTGGCGTCCTGTCGCCAGTCCCTACTCATGCTTAGTTTTCTGCTTAGTTGCACAATTATCCCTATTTGATTGATTTTCGATTGAATTTGTCATGAAATTTGCATGAAGCAACCACGAATCTATATATACATATACATACATATCTATGGCTATCAAACCAGTTTTTTTGGCATAAACTTTTATAAGAAATAAACGGTTTTTATTTTAGTCTTATTTATTTATTTATAATAAAGTATTTTCTTCATGCCTACTCAATTTGATAAATGAATAATCGAAATCTATGTGTGGAAGAAACAAGAGTCTTCCGTCCTATCTGTAAACTTGGAACATAACTATTATCTGTGAAATGAATATCATTTTTATGCCTAAGAGTCTCCCAGATCAAGCAAATAATATATTTATTTATTTCTGATATCGCTTTCAGTTTCAAAGTCGACTTTTTAAAGTCAGTGTATATGGAAAAGATCGTTGTTTTTGACTCACCTCAACTGTTATCGTTTCTTTCGTTTACGTTGTTGCCTGTTTTATGTTTATACTTATTTTTATATATATTTTTTTATTTAGCATGGCATGCCTACAACACACAGCTATAGTTCATCTATATACACTGCTAATCCTCTAATGATTCTCTCCCACTTTTGCAGCCTACCCAAGCTAAGGGATCGCTCCGCCTCGCAGGGCTGTATACCGCCGTTTGTGGAACAGAATCGCACTATGGTCTTCCTGGTTGGACGAAGCGATTTGAGGCTGATCTCGCCGGATCGCAAACAGTTGCTACTGTATAAGGATTTCAAGGATGTGGCCAGCTGTGTGCACGGCCAGAAGTCACTGGATCACTTCGGCATCATCTGTCGCGAACTGAACAACGAGGGCTACATTGGCTACGTGTTCAAGTGCCAGTCGGAGCACGTCTGCGATGATATTGTGGCGGCAATTGTGCAGGCATTCGATACCTGTGCCGAGCAGAAAAAGAAACAGGAGACACAAATCATCAGCTGCGAGCATTGCCCTATGCTCTGGTACCACAAGTTGTGCACGGACGTGGAAGGTCTATCGGAGAAGAAGACACAATCAATGATCTATCGTCGCATCGCCACGCTGAGCGAAGACGAACAGGAAATGGTGAAGGCCAAATACTATGGCTCCGAGAAGACCAACTCATCGGTCGAGGAGCAGAATCAGTTTCTTATGATGCTGTTGCGCGCTCACTGCGAGTCCAGGCAGCAGCGACATGTCCACGACACCGCCGAGAACCGGTCTGAGTTTCTCAATCAAATATTGGGTGGCAGCACCATTTTCACGAAGGCGAAACGCTCACTGACCAATTCCTTTGATAATCTGATCAAGCGCAAGCCGTCTACGGTTGATATTACTGTGCAGCCGCACAATCTGCGGGAGATACGCGAGGGCTCCGCTGAACCACTGGGCACCCAGTCACCCCCCGAGGGATTCCGTTCGCGCTCGAATACGGTAGGCGCAAGTCCCAGCAACAAGCCAAGCGCCGATCAGCTCAAGAGCCCCATGATGGACATGTAAGTAAATAGGGAATGGATTTAACTATGGAATGAATGTAAAGCTACATTTTTCTTTTAATTTGCAGCTTTATTAAAGTGGGCAACAGTCCGAAGGAGGCGGAAACACATCAGGGCTCCTGGCGACAAGCCATACTTAACAGTGTGGTGACGCCATCCAAGGGTTTGGACAGTGAGGCGCCCACCGAATTTCTATCGCCCATGCGCAAGCGTAAGTCCATTTGGCTTTAATAACCAATAAACCAGATACTTAATTTTGCAATCTTATAGCTGCCAAGCGTGGCAAGAGAGATGCCGCCGAGCTGCGTGAGCTGTGGCGCACTGCAATACGACAGACGATCATGCTGAATCGCATGGAGACGGAGAATGCCATGCTGCAGGCGCGTCAGAACGAGAACGAGCTGAAACGCATCAAGTTGGATTACGAGGAGATAGTGCCGTGCGACAAGCAGCTGATCGAGCGCTGGGAGCAAATCATTGAGCGGAACTCAATGCAGATTGGCAACAAGAAGGATCCCAAGGTGCTGCGCCATGCTATACGCACTGGAGTGCCGCGCTCCAAGCGTGGTGATGTCTGGACCTTCCTCGCCGAGCAGCACTCGATGAATATGGCGCCTGTGGATACGAAACGTTTCCCCAACTTCAATACACCGTATCATACGCTGCTCAAGCAATTAACCGAGCATCAGCATGCGATATTTATTGACTTGGGTCGCACCTTTCCCAATCATCAGTTCTACAAGGATCCACTTGGACTGGGTCAGCTATCGCTGTTCAATCTGCTGAAGGCCTACTCCATACTTGACCCAGAGCTGGGCTACTGCCAGGGTCTGGGCTTCATTTGTGGCGTGCTCCTCTTACATGTAAGTGGACACTTGATACAGTGTGGACTTTCAATTAATGCCTCTCTTTCTATCTGGTTTTGCAGTGCGACGAGGCCAGCGCGTTTCAGCTGTTGAAGCACCTAATGTTCTGCCGCAATATGCGCACCAAATACCTGCCGGACATGAAGAAGTTTCAGCTGCAGTTGTATCAGCTGTCGCGTCTTGTTAAGGATCATCTGCCCGATTTGTATGTGTGGTTGGATCAGAACGATGTTTCGCCCACTTTGTATGCCGCACCCTGGATCCTGACCGTATTCAGTTCACAGTTCCCATTGGGTTTTGTGGCGCGCATTTTTGACCTGGTCTTTCTGGAGTCCTCGGATGTTATCTTTAAGTTTGCCATTGCTATGCTGTCGGTGCACAAGCAACAGCTGCTGGCGCGCGATAACTTTGAGGAAATCATGGACTACTTGAAGTCGGTGGTGCCGAAAATGGAGTCGCACAGCATGGAGCAAATAATGAAACTAGTCTTCACGCTGGACATTGGCAAGCAGCTGGCCGAATACAATGTGGAATACAATGTGCTCCAGGAGGAGATATCCACGACGAATCATCATCTGGAAATGTTAAACAGAGAAAGGGCGCAGAATCAGCATCTGGAGCAGCAGCTGCAGGTGAGTAGCTGCTTACATATTTTAATAATTTTACGATTGCCATAATTCATTCACATTTCTCCCCAATTAGTTCGCTCAATCGTCCATTGCGCAGCTGGAAACAACGCGCTCGTCGCAGCAAACGCAAATCACAACGCTGCAATCACAGGTGCAATCGTTGGAGCTGACTATACAAACGCTCGGACGTTATATTGGTCAATTGGTTGAGCACAATCCAGATCTGGAGCTGCCCAGCGAGGTGCGGCGCATGCTGCAGCAGCTGGATGATTTGGATCGACAGCGACGCAAGCCAATATTTGCCGAGCGTAAAATTAACAAATCAATTTCAGTCAACAGTCACTTGGGGTTTCCACTCAAGGTGGTCGAAGAGCTGAGCGAAAGAGACGAACCTGGTTCGCCACAAAAGCAGAGGAAGGAGAAGACACCTTTTTTTGAGCAACTGCGCCAGCAGCAACAGCATCTGCAGCAGCAGCGCAATCATAGCCAAAATGGCCATAACGAGCCACTTATTGTCTTACCAACACCACCAACACGTCCCAATCGGCTGCTGGACAATGCCAGTGCACGCAGCGTCATGCAAACAAAGCTGGACGAGCTGAAGCTGCCGGAGCATGTCGATAAGTTTGTGGCGAATATCAAGAGTCCACTGGAGGTTGATTCTGGAGTTGGCACGCCGCTCAGTCCGCCAAGTACCGCTAGCAGCAACAGCACCAGCAGCAGTCAGAGCACCACAGGCAGTATATTCAGCCGCATGGGCTATAAGACGACACCCTCGGCCCTGTCCCCGATGACCATGCGTCATAGTTGCAGTGGTGCCATTGGCAGTACAACAGCGCCCACAACGGTACCGCACGAACAAACCAAACCGATCGCAATGGCTGCCATCGAGCTCATCGATGCTGTAGGTCAACAGGACCAACAGGAGCCGGAGCCGGGCATGCATCCACTTAGCATGGTTGGCGGCGATGTCCAATGTCGTTTCAATGGTACCACACAGCTCAAGTCAATACGGCCCGTTCATCATATGCGAGCGATTACCTTGTCCGGCTTGCCGGCACATAATGTGGATCAAACGGTTGAACTTGCGCCACCTGCTGCGGCCACCGGTCGCAGCTAACGGTTTTGATTCATCGGCAGGCTGATGCGCAGCCTCTATCGGGAGCGCATGCCTGAGCAGCCTGAGCAGGGCTAAACGCTTACCAGTACACCTCAGTTGCGGCTAAGATGCAAAAATACAAATATAAATGCTACAAATTTCATTATTTTGCATGTTGCGCACAAATTGTTGCCCTACATACATAAACGTTATATATACAGACCCCAAATATAAATATATATATATATATAAACATATATATATATATATATATATATATATATATATATATATACATACATTATATACAAGTACTTATACATGGAACTGGATAAATGCTTTTGCAACAATTTTATAAATTTTGGCTAAACATGACTTGTGTGTAAAACAACTTTAGGAATCTTGTCAACCCACTGCTATGCATATATATATTGGAGGGATATATACAAAATTGATAAGCAGTCTCAGTCTCAGTTTCTAGTTTTATTTAAGTTTTTCTATTGTTCAGCAGATTTAATTAATTTGTAACAAATTTTAATTAGTTTTACTTGTTGAATTTAATGTTTCTTTAGTTTTAGTCAATTAGTTTTTACTGTTTCGCTTAATTTCTATAAACATAATCATTTGTACATTATTTCTTTTGGTTTGATTGTAAGCGATAATCAAGATATCCAGCAGCATATTAAACAAAATTCTGAAAACATATATCTGCATGTGTACTATATAAATTCTTAAATCTCTTCCCGGACTTGGATTATCTATATTCATTGTTTAAATATAAGTAATTAAATGCAAACAAATTATCTAAATAAATACAAAATTGAATAAATTGCTTCAATGCTAAGTACAATATATTGATTAGCTGGACAGCTTGCCATAAGGAGTCCAGAGTTTTTGAGTAGCTAATTTGTGTTTAGTAAATGAGTAAAAGAGTCATATAAAAACAGTAATAAATGCAATAACAACTATTTAACCGATATTCGAAATGTTGTTTTATTCATTTTATTTTACTTTTGAAGCATACTTTTGGGATGAGCCAAGGAGAAAGGACAATTAGGTTTTGGAGAAAAATAACTGTAACTTGGCCAAATCCTTACAGATTTTCGTATGACAAGGTGCACCGACAAACTCAACCGAATTGCATTCAAGGAATACGGTATCATCTAAGAACATAAGCACAAAAATTAAACCGCAGGGCTAAAGATATGAGCCGAAATCAGAAAATCCTTTGGTGATTTTGGTATCCTTTGTCCTGATAGCCCTGAACAAAACGAAAAGTTAAACAAGGCTCGTCAGGATAGCGAAGAATATGATCGAGTTATGAGCAATGTTTTATGTTACAAAAAAGTCCCTCTGAAGGAATATCGCCCGGACAAGGACTATTTGTAGTATTATAAGAACCAATTATATTTATTGTCATTAAAAGATTTTAAAACAATTTTCCAAAGATCACAAAAAATTGGATTTTACATTTCACAACTAATAAGGAATGTATTTATTTTCATTAATTTTTGTATTTTTGATCACATATTATTGGTATTTTTATTTGGTATCAAACTAACAGCGCCTAAGTCGATCTACGAATTACGAACAATTTAAGTATTTTCAGAATAAATCTATCTATAAAAAAAATCACAGTTCTTAAGCCAAAATTATATTTTACTGAAATCTATATGAAAAAACTCATTTAAAATAAAAGCGAATTCAGCAACATTTTGTTAAGGCTCTTCGGTCACCAAAATGTGGCTGAGTTCGCTTTTGTAGCTATAACAAATGCAGAGGGACTTCCTGAACACATTCTAACATTTACCGGGAAACCTATTTAAGCCTGATCCTCGACTCGTGATCGTTCTACAAACACACTACTAAAACTATCTTATCTACTCCTTAAATTCGGGCTCAATGCCAAACTCGGTCTTTGGCTGTTGCATGACCGCATCTGCTGCTGCATCCGCCACGTTGAAGGCAGCCAAATTGCCAAGGACGGGCGAATTCTGAGGCAAGGTCTGCATTATATTGGCATCTGTGGTGCCGGGATACATATTCTGATAGAAGAGCGGATTTTGTAGTTGAAAGAGCGCCATAAGATGCGTCATCTGGAAATTTGGCGCTGTTGCATCTGCAACAGGCATAAAGTTGGGCAAAAGGCTGGCAAGCAGGCCACTGTTGAGAGCATTGCTGTTGGATGAGGGCGGGAGTTGAGTTGGCGGCGTCGGAAAGCTGTCTGTGTCAGCCAGTTTGAGACGCTTCGCTTCAGATTGTTGCGCATCCACGGGCAGTTGCTAAAATATGTATAGAAATGTAATAAGCGAAGTTCTTGCAGAAGACGGCAAACAACTCACAATCATCTTGGGTGGGCGTCCTCGCTTGCGCGCCAGGAAGTGCTCCGTGGAGAGCGAAGAGAGTGGTGTCGAGGTGGAACTGAAGCTGTTACTGTTCAATTCAGGTGCAATAGTTGCTTGTGTTTGTGGTGCGTCCTCCAAGTCGTCCTGTTTGCTCTTGAGCTGCTGTTCGCCATCGTCACGATCGTGTTTGCGCTTGTGACTAATCATTTGGCTGCTCGAGTGCAGGATGTGGTTGCAGTCCACGCGTAAGCAATGAATGTGATTGCTGACCATGGAGAACTTGCAAGACTCGAAAGGACATGGTTCCGTTTTCAGTATCTTCTTGAAGCCATCCTGTGTCAGCTGACTATGCTTCAGATGGTACGTCTTGTGCTTGTCTAAAGGCAAAATTAATAAGAATGCATATTTCATTTGAATTCAATTCGATGTCACTCACCCATATCGGCCTTATTCTTGAAAGTGTGATTGCAACCCTCGCGACAGCAGTGATAGTGAGATATCTTCTTGCCATAAAAGGGACAATCCTCGACTCGGCAGTTTTCATGAGCGCGAAAGCGCCGGAAACCCTCGTTCACAATCTCCGAGTCCTTGCGATGGAAGTTGGCATGCATCTGGACATCACTGGTGCTCACATAGACCTTGGGACAGTGCTCGTAGATGCAGTGATAGTGCGTCTGCTTCCAGTTGTAGGCACAGCTATCTCCATAGGCGGGCGCACAGTCGTCCCCTGAGGAGAAGCGGGCAAAGCCCAGTTTGAGACTTTCCTTGCGCTTCTTGTGCCACTTCAGATGGCGGATGATGTCATCCTTTTTGCTAAGAGTCTTGCCCTGGCAGGGTTCGTCATAGCAGTGAAAATGCTCACGCAACGTATCCTGGCGACAGAGCACATTCTCGCACTCCAGATACGAGGACACCTTGCGTAGATATTTCAGATTCTCCTCGTTCAGCAGAAAGGCATCCAAACCGCTGGCCGTGCTCAGGCTGACAATGCTTGCCTTACTCTGATCATTGGATGGCGGTGGCGTCAGCAGCGAATTCTTGCTCTGTGGTAAGGGTGTATTAAATGTCTCCTCATCATTGTCGATGGAGGTCATGGCACTATATGAGGAATCCGCCGGCTGTTTAACGGGCGTATACTGCAATGTAGAATCGATGATATATTTAATGGTAATAAATTTTCTCAAAACCAGACTGGTGCCAGTTGTCGTGACACAGCAGCTGCCTATTTTCCTTGGAATCATGATGTTGTTTACATTAAGCAAGCAAACAAATTGCGACAAAGTTTCGCCTGTGCTTTTTGCGGACAAAGCGCAAGAATGAAGACCTGCCTTAAACAAATACAAAGACCCACTCTCGAATTGCAAAGAGCGTGGGACTTTCTGACGAACATGCATTCATTTTCGAACCAATTCAGCTATTTCCAGCTGACTGCCACACAAGAAAAATCTAACAAATTTAAATCGTTTTGGTAATTGAATTTAAGTTATAGAAAATTGCGAGAGCTTCAAAATTTAAGAGCGTCTGATTGAGACGAAGAGGGTTGAATACAGAGAAATAGCAGTCCAAGGAGTTGTCGATATTATATATATAAATTATATTAAATTTGGTTAAATAATTATTATGCTCTTTTTTTTCTAAAGTCTTTTGATTTGACTAAATTTTCCACTTTAACTTCTACTACTGTTTCTTCTCTTATTTCGACTGCAGTCAGAAGCGACTTAATTTGTAAGCACTCGCAATACTCTACAAATTTAATAAAACTACCAAGAAGATTCAATTGGTTTGGTGGCTTTAATAACGCACTTACCATGCTGGGCGAGTTAATGCTGCCGTCGTTGATGCTCGTGCTCTCCAGCGACTGTATGCCCGACAACAGCAACAACTTCTCGCTGTTGGCGCTGGTGGCGCTAGTGGCATCATTAGTGCTGGCCATGCCCGAGGAGCTGCAGCTGTTCAGGCTAGACAGCGGCTTATCATCCTCATCATCGAAATACTGCTCATATTTGACAGTGTCTGCCGGAATGTTGCCAGTGACATTAGCAGTTGCTGTTGTTGTTGCTGCTGCTGCTGCAGATGTTGCTGCTGCTGCTGCTACTGCTGCTACTGCTGCTGATTGTTCATTCGGCGTCGATGTCACTGCGGAGGATTGCAAAAAGTTATTTCTGGTAAGCTGATCCAGCTGTAGTTGCTGTGTGGAGCTGGGCGTGTTAGGTGTTAGTAGCTGATTGGAAGTTGAAGTTGTCAGCAAATGCTGTTGTTGTTGTTGTTGTTGTTGCAACATGAAGTGTGTCAGTGGCGATATATTGCTGAACAACAATTGTGGCAATTGCTGGGCAAAGTTTATGTTTGCGCTATTAGTTTTTGTGGGTGTTGTTAGTAGTGATGTTGCATGTTCTTCACATTGCTGTTGTTGTTTTGACGACAACGTATTCAAATTACTATTGGGACTACAACTACGGCTACTCGAACTACAGTTTGTGTTTTGTGAATTTGTTCGTTTGTCTGTTCGAGTCTTGTGTTGTTTTTGTGGTTGCTGCTGCTGTTGCTGTTGCAGGCAAGTGCTGCTACTGATATCCTCAGTTTGTGTTTGGGCAAAGCCCAACAGCTGTTGTTGCTCTTGTTGTGGTGGTTGTTGTTGGATTTGCTGTTGCTGCAGTTGTTGTTGCTGCAACAGGTTCATCATATAAAGCTGCATCATAAATTCCATTTGATTGAACATTTTACGATCACTTCTTGTTCGATTGATTTTTCTTTGAAAATTCAGAAATGATTCTTAGTAAAGAAGATTTTCACAATTTTCACTTGGCACTCTCGACGCAGATTTATATGGCACATCTCTAACGATCCTCGAAGTTCAGCTGCGCAGCTCAAACTGATTCAACTCTTCGACGACAACCAGCAAATATAGTAGAATATTGCGCAACATTTCGTAGGTCCTCTCAGCAACCCTCTCTCAAAAAAACCCAAGATTCTCTTAAAAAACTGATCTAGTCTGCCCGCTCTTGTATCTCTGACTCTCTTTAAAAAGAAATACTAAAAGTAAATCCCTTTAAGTGGTGGTTTAATGCTCACACAACCCTCAAATAATTATTTGTGCCCTGTTTGTGGAAATTGTGCTCAAAACTTGTTGTGTATTTGTCACTATTTTTTGCTGGTTTTTTCGTAGCCAACCAATAAAATGCCAGCGTCCATGTAAATATCTGCAGAAAGCGAGTTTTTTTGGGCAGATAAAGTGACATTGAGAGACCAACTGCTGCTCAGGAATTTCCCCTGTGTATTGCAAGTGAAGACAGAGAAAGAGAGTCACGGAGAGTGGAGCAATTTATATGAATCTAATTAAAAATCACAGAAGGAAAAAAGGAAAACAGAAAGAACTTTAGGTTTATATTTTTTTAAAACTTTAATATCGAAGTTTTGTAATGATTGTCGGAACGTGATTTATTATAAAGAATATAAAGACACCGAACAATGTGAACTATATTCTAACATTTTTACTTAATTATGAAACACATTTTGTTACGCATTTTTACCTAGTTTAGCTTAGAAAGTAGAAGTAGAAGAAGTATTGGATTTAATTAATTATGCAATTGCTTTTCGCAATCTATTTTTCTCTCACACTTTTCAAAGCCAATTGTCAATTAAAAATCAGATGTTATAGGTAAAAAAAATGGCATAAAATATAGTTCCCAGCATATTGGTCCATTAAGCAAAACCCTTTTCGAATTATTTGCTCAGTTTCAAGAAATATATGTTTAGGACTTAGATATTAGAACAGCTGCACATTCCAATAATAATCGAATATATTAAAATGCAAAAAGCAAACTAAATTAAAATTACAAACGAACAAACTAGATCTACATCACAACCGCGTGCAAAAAAAACTTTAATTAGAAATGCCAAAATTTGCATATAAAAAAATACTGCAAAAGTGCGAAATAGGAGCACACCCTTACCAAAAAAAAAACCCTTAAAGGACGCGACTTGTAACATCCGTTGCGCAGGCGCAAACGACCCTTGTCAGTGTAATTTACATAAATTACTGTTGTCAAATATAGGTTTGTGGAAAAATTTGCATAATTTTGGCACAGACGCAAAGGCTCAAGTCACAAGCGAGAAGAGCAAAGCAAATCCGGATCAATCCCAGCCAGTGTTATGCTAATCGACCTGTGTCGATGCCCACTACGGAGGAGGGTTCCAACGACGCGCGCCATGTGAAAATATATGCAAATCAGCTCAAGCAATGAATGCAAAGGGAATCCCGTGAAGGTTAGCAAAATCATATCGACGAACTGCAGACATCGATTGATTTTATACAGAACATGTATATGGCTTGGTACTACTCATCTCAGCTTGTTTGTCATTTGGTTTTTTATTTGAGATTGGAGATTGAAATAGTTTTTCCCAATTGCTGCCACAATTGAGTGAAATGGATAAGAGAAAAGACCAGAGGACAGCATACAAACCGATCTCCAAAATAGCAATCGAGCAACAAACAAATGTCTTCATGAAAATATGCACAAGGCCTGAGGAACGGAACCCGAGACACTTTGTGCACTATAAATTCAAGATGAACCCAGTCATGCTTTCAATTTGTCTTCATTTTAATATGTACTTTGATGAAAATGTATTTGCATATGACAACCATTGATTCAGTTACAAATATTTCAAAATGGAAAACATTTGCGTTTTGGATTCTATTTCGAAGTGAGCATTGAATGCTAGTCGCTCTCGCTCCTGCTCATGTTCCCATTAAAAAATATACAAAATAAAATGTTACTTTATGATTAACCAAAAGATTATTATTTTAGGCTCCACAAAATGGACGAAGGATGGGAAGAGAATGATATATTATCAATGATATATTCTCAAAAGTGGATGACTTGTGCTAGTTCAAAGTTAGTTAAAATGGAGTTAATTAGAGAAATGTCACTTCACAGTTTTGTAAAATTACACAAAGTGCAATATGATAGTTTTAGTCAGTGAATTATGCGAATATACTTTCGCCGAATACCTTATCATTAACGTGAGAAAATCGAACTCTTTTTTACTTTCCAAACAACGTTTATCCCAGAAAATAAATAAAAAAAATTCTTTATTTAATTCAAATTTTAAATGGCAATTTTCTTAAAGGTTTTTTCGGATCCTTCAAGAAGGTTGACCCTTCAATAATATTTGTGCCTATATGCAGAAATCTCTGATGTGCCATGTCAACAAAGACATCTAAAGAATTCTTTTATTGATAATGGATGGGACACTATAATCAAATGAAGTCATTGATGACAAATGCAAATGTGCAAAATGCTGTCACAAAGATTCTCTCCTCAATCTGCATTTTCTGCCTAACAGGGTCTTACGGGAAGTAAGAGGACATCGCTGACCAGCGCACTGACCAACCCCGCTAAGGACACGCGTCTGAGTCATTAAATCATTTAACGCTGGTCAAGCCAATAGAAAGAGTTATAAAAGGGGAAACTGCTGGCTTGCTAATGGTCAGTATTGCAGTCAGTTTTGCTGTAGGCACAACACGCGACCATCAGATAAACAGTTCATTTGTAAGTTGATTCTATCTTCTGCTGCTTTGAGTTTTATGTTCACCCATCGCATTTAGTTGGTGACCCAAAAGTTATCGTGCGAAATTCTTGAGAAATGTCCGTTAATTTGAGAACATGTTTGGGTTCAAGTTTAGGCAGAACAAAATGGTTGACCTACAGGACAAGCAGCCAAGCAGAACAATGCAGAACATGTTGTCATAAATAGGGTATCCTAGTTGCACACCGAATAGGAAATTAGAATGCGCGACCGCAACCGAACCCTTTGAGCAGCCATTGTCCTGCTGTTCTCATGCCCTCGCTGCCACCCTAGAACCTGTGTTAAGAGCAACTGACAGGATACATCAGGCAACTGCTCGCACTCGCGATGCTGCAGCCGCTGTTTTATAATTAGTTTGACCAGATCTCGCAATGGACCGTCACATGGCTGTTTACTGCAAGGGGTTCACCCTTCTGGCTTACATTTTCTTCGCGGCCTTTCCCAAAAATGAATGGCAGTGTCCAAACCGGTTTCTCGGCTTTGTGCTTACATTTATACGGATTCGCGGTCCGGTTTTTGGGTAATGAACTCGTCCCTGTGGGTCGCCTTAACCCTTTTCGGTGTAAGGATGCTCAAAGCGAATAAAATTGGTGCGCTCACCCAATTGTGTTACCAAGAAGGTCAGGGCTTAGATGGGAAATCTCTGGCTCAAGATTTTTGTTCTCATCTTCAAAGAAAAATACCAAAACAACCGTTATAAATTACCGGGCAGCTGAATCTGAATCCAAGCCAAAAAGGGTCACTATTCAGAGCTATTGACCAGCTCAATTTGTTCTTAGTGCATTGGCACGCGTGGAAAGGATGACCCCAATAAATGACCACTTAACTGCTTGAGACAAACCTGTCTGATGGCTTGATCAGCAAGGATGGACGACGCGCGTGCCCAAAGGACTTAAAGGATAGGCACACACACCTCGGCAATTGGTCAAGATGTCAAATTGGTACCCAGGACATCCCCTCGCAAATAATCTGCGGCCTAGCGCGTGTCCTTTTATCATAATTAAGATCCTATTCGAATTCAGAATTTCAACGGTGAGGACATATGGAACCTTTTTGAGCCTTCGTCAAGGGTCAACATAGTTGACCAGACAAAATCCTCAATGAATTGCAGTGCATAAATTTCCATTGGTACTAACGATTATATTGAAATACCATTCTGGATTTCGTGAAATTGAGAATTTTCCTTTCTTTTTTCCGGGGCTTAACGTTGAGATTTACTTGAGCAAATAAATCTGCGCCCAAAGGCAACCCATAACAAAACATCTTTAAAAAGGGCAGAAAAAGGCAAAATACCACTGCATTTAGGATAAAGACTCGACTTTCTGAGGGTAGCACTTCGAGCATTCAAACTTTTGTATTGTTTATATTTTAGCATAAATTGTGAAAAGGACAAAGGATGCCACAGGCAATTGACGTAATTAGTCAGATAGGTTTTAATGTGCTTAAAGATTTTTCTCACGCTGATGACATCGTCGACAAGCATAAAACATCCTCCTGATTAACCCAACTAACTTTGTTCGCAATTTTATGCGTCGTTATACGACTTATTCTACATTTTGGAAGCTCAGTTGCCATTTTGCCATAAAAAATGATGTGGTAATCAACTTAACTTTAACTAACCGCTTGGCCTTTAACTTATGCACATCACTCAATTATGGCAACAATTGGTAAATCCACTTTAGTCCCAATTCGCCAAACAAGTGATAAACCAACAGAGCTCAATTCCAATGCTTGGTATTCGATATCAATCGATGGCTGCAATTAATTTGTTCGTGAAGGGATTTCGATTGCGCTCCTTTTATTCATATCCTTCAGCTGATTTGCATATATTTCCCAAATGAGGCGCGCGTGCGCCTCTCACTGGGAAACCCTCCTCCTCTTTCGTCTCAGGTCCATTAGCATAACACTGGCTGTCGGAGGATAAATTGGTTAGCTGACAGGCATCACACTCAATATTATATAAATACTTTTTTAAATTTGCTTTGGGCATCAGGTCCGCATTGCAAAAATCGAACTAATTTATTAATTTTTATGAATTTTGAAGGGTTGTAAAAAATGCTCGTTTTTTCGTTATTTGATCGGCAGCTGATACAATTTTTTTGCCCATTTGGCGCAAATGAAAATTAAATGAAAAAATTGACTTTTTTTTAAGCAA